TTGTTCATCCTTTTTGAATCCTGATCAGTCTATCATGTAGCTGTATCCTGTTTCTCTATCCGCTGGTGAGAGGGTGACCACATCCACGTACCGTAGGTGACCACATTTGACCAGACCAGTCTCGCCGAGCACCAACCGTCCCTCGGGTCGGCCGAAGATCGAGTCTCAGCTCGTGCCACGTGGAGGTTTCAGCCTGAACTTCGGGCCGCAACTTGGGGCCGAGTCGGCAAGATCCCGGCAGGTACGTACGGTACTAAGATCGTCGCCCGGGCCGCGTTTGGTCAACTTACGTCAGGCGAATGTCAATTCATCAATTTTGGCCGTCCGAATATGGAAACGATCCATCGGATGGTTCTTGGATCATGATAAGATAAATGTGCGCGCGCTCACGACGGTTGCTGCTTCGGTTGTTCAGGTCAGGGTCAGGGGTACGCTGCAGACTACCTAGCGGAGTCTTCATTGGGTCTAGGACTGCAGTGGCGCTACACTAGGAAACACAGGTTGATAGAATCACTAGTGCAGACATCGCGAAACGGTCGACCGTTGAAACTTGAAAGCTTTCAGCATGTTGCATAGGTTGTAGGTACCCCATGCCCTATGCCCACTGGCAGGGCAGGCTGAATCCAGTCAAGTTCCAGTCGATCCGTTTGCAATCATAAAGTCATTATCCCTTTGCCGCCAAATTTTCGACAAGTACAGTACGAGTACGAGCGGTACCGGCCAATATTCCAATCAGCCTTGACCATTATAAGGGCCTTCAGGGCTACGCGGGATCCCTGCATGCACAGCTGTCATTGCAAGCAGGGCCGTGGCGCAACTTGAGGAAGCAACCCTGTAAGCCTAATCATGAATGTAGCATTCTTGTACGTCTGCATCGGCTCAAAGGGGCAAAATAACCCTACTCTGCTGCACGACTAGGGTGGTCAGATCGACTCTCAGCATATTTTGTGGGGACACTAATTAAGTTCTGATCAAGTGTTGCAGCATCGCGTGGGGGACTTTGTGGATGCCACAGCATTGCACGCACTTTTTCTCGATTGCTACTACAGCATTGTGATTGTGAGTAGTCAGTAGGATTGGTCGACCCAAGTGATCATTGCAAAGGGTGATCTGCCAACGTGGTTGGCGTAGGACCATTTCTACAGGGCAAGCGCTGAGGAACTTTTGAAAGCATACCCCCTTTGAACAAACAACGGTTGGTGGCTACTCCTTGATGCTCTTTTGCTGTGCGGCGCCAGATGCGAGCAATGCTGTGAAATTCAGGGAGTGTACGTGCATTCAGACAGTTACTAATGTTAGAACGGAAACACAAGCTCAGCAGCAACAGCGGCTCGTCAACGAGATCTTTGGGTAGCATCAAGCATATGTTAGAGTACAAGATTTGCGCTTTCTCTGCTTTGCCATTTTGGCACATGCGGTATCTGAGAGGACACAGCTTTCTTTCTAAAAAGACTTTACCAATATGGAAAACCTTCGTTAGAGCTCTATGGTAATACCGTCCGTGTCTCTTTCGTGTAACTGCCACCGCCCCAAGGACTCCGCAAGCAAGCAAACAGGGACGGCCAATCATTATCAGACATCAGATTGTATAGAATTTGGCAACCTACTGTCGAGTTCCTACAGTGACGAATATATATACGCTTGGCTCCGAAAAAAGGTTCACAAGATGACAGGTGTCTGGACAAGTAAGACGGAAGCTTGTGTCAAGCGCACCGTTGAAAAGACAGCATCAACCTTGGAAAAAAGGGACAACTCGATGTAAGTATTGGCCAATCCGTTGATCACAGCTGTTCATCCCGGGTTCATGAGTTCTTAGTTCCGAACGTTTATTTGCAGACCCTGCTGAAGCCCACGGGAGGACACGTGTCACGATGTCTCAAACAGTTGGCCGCCGCCAACTTGATCAGGTGCGCGCCCGTCGTATTTGGATTCCCAAGCCGACTTTTCCGGAGGATCAAGAGCTCATTCGACTGCGAATGTGATAAAGGAGTGAAAGCTCAATGGGTTAACTTGGCAGACCCTGGGAGAGTGGAAGGCTCTAGGCGCGCGGAGGCAGGACATCTAACCAGCGTATAACCAGCTTTCGATCTGAGTCTGGTTACCATTCTGGATATTAAAGAAACAAGGCTGCAATCGGTCGTAATCAGCCCTAGTTAGCTGCTGGTTTTCCGTCTGCCCGTTTACATCTAAGAGCTTAAATCCATTTCGTCGGACTGCCAGCTGTCCGTCAGTCGATCTTTTCTTGATGCTCCTGAAGCTGTTCAAGGAAGCGATAGGCTCATCTTTGGCTGCAACCCGTCCTCCTTCTGATGCAATGAAGCAAGGTAACAAATATTTACAAGTGAAACACAAAGCTATAGCGTACACGTAGGAAACGGAGGACTTTTGTAAATATTTGTCCTGTAAGGCAGAGTCCTGTTTACAAGTACACAAACGTGACAGCTCAGGAGAGGGTTAATGGTCGACTCTCCTGCGCCTCGACTCTCCGCAACACCGTAGATCGAGAACAGCAGATGATAATCCTTTGACTGAGCTGGTGTGGCTCAGTCTGTCTCTTTTTAAAAAAGAATCTCCTATTACTTGCTTGCATTCTCAAAGCTGAGCTTTGCGTTCGTCCGTAGGGGCGATGGACGGTCCTGATCGCCGTCTGCTTGCTCCTATCAACAACCCTGATCACTGCCGCGGACGATGAATCGGACTCCAAGAACCCGCGCAAGCGTACGTTGCTAGCCACAGGTAACCGTTCATTTGTACATAGAGTAGAAGCCGGAGTGCGCCTAAGATGTTTTGTTTGAAGACGAGATTAGGTCGCCCCGCTCTTTGACTCTGTGGGAAATTTCAGAACGGTTTGAAGCTGGGTGCCAAAGTGAAAGAACTGACAATGTTAGATGGTGAGCTTCATTAGAGATCCGGTGTTTGAAAACTACCGCGACTCAAGCAGAGTTTTTGGAGGACTGTGCAGCAGGCTAGGATTTTCCCAGAAAGTCACTTCATGTCACTCTCGTTTCTGCATGCACCGCTTGCCATCAAGGCTGAGCTTGACGTCACCTGTTAAAGTCTCTTTGCATGATTACCCTCGTAGCGGGCCATTCCGGAAGCAACTCGACCACTTGACCTTTCCTGGAAGAAACGTGAAAATAAGCGGAGACCAGAAAGTTGGAGAGCACGAACTAACCGACCATGTTTCAAAGGACTGACGGACTTCTTCTCGGATTTCAGGAAACTCCTCCATTCCAGCCCCTACGCCCTCCGCCCCCCCGGTCTGTACCGCGGACTGCGGCCAGGGCACGTGCGTACCGACCGGGACCGCTGCCGCCGACTACGTGTGCGCGTGCATTCCGTCCGTTTCCGTCAATTCCGTTCCGTCGGACCCCAAGAGCAAGTGCACTATTCCGGCGACCAATCCCTGTGCAACTGTGGACTGCGGGGTTGCCGGGCAGTGCGTCCGGAGCGCGAGCCTGACGGACTACACGTGTCAGTGCATGGGCAATGCGGTGCAGGTAAGGGCCGAGAGCTAACCTCCTTTCGCTTTGATGATTGATTTGATGATTGATTCGGCCACGGATAGTTAAGGCAAGTCGAAGGTGTGAGGAAATCACTAGCAGTATCCCCCTACGATTTCGGTTGCAACCAGAGCGGAAAAGCTTTGCAAACCGGAGAAGTGAATTCAAAACGTGTCACGCGCCCTGAAAGATGTCCCTCGACTTGTGCAGGCCAACCCCGGTGACCCCCACTCCAAGTGCTCCAATATTCCGTCCGCCTGCCAGGCCGGCAACCCCTGCGGAACCGGAACGTGCGGAACGGACGGATCGGCAGCCGGGTTCAATTGCATGTGCCCTGCCGGATCGACGCAGACCACCCCACAGTAAGCGGATCCCCCCGGATTACGTCGTTTCCAGTCAGATACCGCCCCTGGTTTGAGCGATTGTAATCCAGTACCTTGTTTTCCAATGGAGTTTTCCATTACAAAGCTTACTCGCCTTGGACTTATGGTCACTATCAAAATTTTGATTTAGAGCTTTCTGATTCCGGCCGCTGATATTTTAAGCGGACGGATTCAGAAAGACAAATTCGGTCTGTCCGACGGGCCTCATACTTTTGACTTGCTCTCAACACGACAATCGTTGCGTGCTGGTTCAATAATGCTGTCAACTTTTCACTTGGCCTTACCGCGAAGCTCGTACTCAGGAAAACGTAATGACAATACAAAGGACGGGAGAGCCGCACGTATTTTGTACTGGACGCCTCTGATTGATTTTCTGCTTCCCGCGAACGCAGGAGCCCCTGCGTCACGCTGACGCCAGCCCCGACCGCCAACCCGTGCGTCGGCGTCAGCTGCAACAAGGGCGGCTGTGTCGTGGCCGGGGGAGCCGCGCGCTGCGTCTGTGACCCAGACGCCGTGCAGAGCAACCCGGCGCAGGCGACGTCACCGTGCGTCACCGGTACGTCAACTTGGTAGAAAAGTTCCCCTTGCCATGATGGTCATTGAAGGTTGCTTAACTTGCGGACGGAAGAGAGAGCGAAGAGCGGAGCGGAAAGGCTCAATGTCTGTGACCCACGTGGAGATATTCTACGGCTTGTCCACCTTCGTCTAGCTGCTATCTTTCAAGTCTTTACCATCTCCGATCCTGATTTGTCTTGCATACTCATGCCGCGCCGACGGGTCAAACGACTGTAAGCGCCGCTTCTCACTGCGCGCGACTCACAACGAAGTCGGAAACAATTGAGACAAATCTCTACAAAATATTTCTTATATTTCTCCACGCAGCTCCTTCGGTGACCACGTCAGCCCCGGTCGCTACCCTCGCCCCCACCCCGACCAACCCATGCACCGCCGGTACGTACCAGTGCCCGGCGAATGCGGTCGGGTGTGTGCCAACCGGGCAGACGACCTACCTCTGCGCCTGCGCGGACGACTCTCGGGTGAATGGCGCCGGGCAGAGCTGCCCAGTCACTCCTGCAGGTGAGAGAAATTGGTTGCCGGGATATTATCATGTCGTTTTGCGTGTAAAGCGTTCTTTGTTGCGGTTTACTCATGCCGTTGATAACAACCTCAAACAATATGTGCGGACGATACCCGGTTGAAGAGCGCCGGGCAAGCTGCGCAGTTACTCCTGCAGAAGTGGGGTGGTCGGCGAACTGGCTTATTGTGGCCACGTAAACTCATCAGAGAGTAACGTGACAGAAAGAGTTTGATCAAGACTTTTAAGTTTCATGCGTAGAGCAGTCTCGTGGCTTTCCGGGGACTCTTGCGAGCTTCCGGTCGAAGCTTTAGAAGCTAGTTTTCGTAAGCGCTCTGAGCAGAAATTTCAAGCAACTTGATTTGACGTCTCACACTCACACTCACACTCGCACTCACTCAATTGCGGATTGTTCCAGTGAGAGCGCGCAAAACGCGAAGTCCTCGTTCCTTAGGCTCCTCCGACGTACCATTTTCGCCGTTTCTCCATTTCTAATTCGTTATCGCGAAAGTAGAACACTACGAATCCTGGACTCAAAGTCAACATCAACGGTGATTTGCAGCCACGCCGAGCCCCCCGGCGCTAACGGCCGCGCCCCAAAACCCCTCAAACCCCACGCCCGCCCCCGCGAACCCGACGCCCGCGCCGACGACCCTGCCGCAGCAAGCGCAGCTGACCCAAACCCCGCCCGCGCCCGCAGCCGCGACGCCCGCGCCGACGAACGCGGGCGCAAACCTCCAAAACCCTGGGCAGAGTGCGGCGGGCGGTTCGGGAACGGTTAGCGGGGGTTCGGGTTCGGGTTTGGGTGACGAGGAATCGAAGTCGAGCTCTGGGAGAGATACGGGTATTACAAGTAAGTCTTGACGAACGCCTTGGAAAGCGGTCTAAGGTCGTCTGGTGAACCCGATTGGAAGGAGGAACGTCTACCAAGTCCACTTTCAAAGGTTTCAGAATTCAAAGAGTTTTGTTTGATTAGAGAGACGGCTTGTTACGAAAGCTAAGCTCAACTTGACTACAACCGAGCCGTTCGCGACTTTACTTTAGGAGCATTCTCCGCTGAAAGCAGCCGTTTCTGCTGTGCCCCAACCCCATGTTTATTTGCGTAGAAAGCAAGGACGCACGCACGAACATTCATAGGCCGTTGCCTGTTCTTGCGTGTCCTTGATCTGTTCTTGTCCAGTTACTTTACTTGCTGACTCTTCCTTGACGCCTGATTGTGCGTCTATGTCACAACTTCGGTCTTTCAGATCGCAGTCAAAAGCGATCAGACCTTTCAGGAGGCAGCGCTTCGTTCTTACCGAGCACTTTCTTCGCTTCCACCCTTTCGGTTCGTTCTCCCTGCCCCGCTCTTTAAGAAGAAACTCAGAAAAATCCTTTTCCTCTGCGCAGTTGGTCTGATCGCCCTCGCCGGCTGCCTCGCCGCCGTCGCCTTCGGGATCATGTTCTGGGCCTGCCGCAAGAAGACGTCATCCGACAAGGATGCTGACGTCACCTCCGCCAAGACGCCCCTCCACCCGCCGTCGAAGCTGACGTCAAACGTGCCGTCGGCCGCCCAGTACGCGGAGAACCTCCGGGCGCGTCCGACGTCGCCACGTGTCGTCCCGTACTTATCGAACGGCGACGATGCGGCGGCACAGGAGACGCCGACCGCGCGCGAGCTCCTGCGGCAGCCCAGCAGCGCGCGCAGCGTGCGGACGTCATACTCGAAGCGATGAGCGGGAGCTGCTGACGTCACACGAGTTGAAATGCACGAGAGACTGTTGAACTGGAAAATTGTACAGACTTGCTTTTGTCAAATACGGTTTGGAAGAGTTGAGGAGAGGTTGCTGACGTCGCCTAAGCTGCATGAGGCGATGCGAAAAGTTGCTGACGTTAGTACACGCCAAGAAGTCTGGGCGTTGATGACAGCTCCCATTTCCATAGAGCTCGAAAGACAGCTTTGCTGTTTTTGCTAGTAAGGCTGAGATGGATGGACGAGAGAAACGTCGCCGGCTACCACGAAAAGTGTATGGCGGCGTCGATTTCACGATTGTCCGGCACCGACTTTGATTTTGGCAAAGGTCTTCCGAAACTTAACTGTAACTTCAAGCCAGGTGTCCAACGTCGAAATATACACATACCGGCCTTCCGGCCGACGTCGGACTATAACTGGAGCGGCAGAACAACGTACTGAAGGTCACTGTAATATGCCGGCCCATATATATGTGTGAGATTTTGATTGGATGGGCCGCGGCACTTCAAAGAGATCCCCGCGCCTGAGCTAGGCGGGTTGTCTCCCGATCACATGCGTACGCGCACTGCACGCTGCATGAGCGTGTAGGGAACATAATTTGGCGACCACGTGGGGCCGGTATCGGTATACCATGTATTTAATTGTTCTACTGCAAGCATTTACCATATGCGCATGTACGTAGGTCCATGACCTCGAGAACCCTAGCTAATTCCGCCAAAAGGTACGTCATGCGGCTTGAATGTTTACTCGATCGATTAACTTAAGGGGCTTAGTAAATAATCATTGGGTCCAGGCTTAACGCGTGACGTTGCCGCAGTGACGGTCACTCATGCGCATGACTGTGCAAGCTGGCACAGTAACAAACATGCTCTACATGCAGTCAACTAAGCATGGACTCGCCAGCTTGTCCCGGAAAATGCATCACTGGCCAGCTTTCTGGCAGAGTTACACACACGCTCCACAAGGGATTGACGGGAACAGCAGATCTTTGGTGATATTTCTTTGCCAATGCACTGCATACCTTAGTAAGTGATTTTCTGTGCTGAGTTTTATATAGACACCAGTCTGAAGAGCGACTCACAAACACCAAATGATTGACACAGCTTATAAGAAAAAGCTAAGCCCTGGTCCAAGTACATATGCTGCTGCTTTAAAAGTCAGCGCAAACTCGCTCCTGCTCTTCACTGCGTCTTCTCATAGTTCTGCAAAGACGTCATCCTCTTCCGAGAGTCCATGAAAAAAAGCCGGCCAGCGGCAAAACCCGCGGCGAGAAAGCAATTGTGCAAGGATCATGTTGAGCTATATGCTCGGTTCTGGCTAGCCTACCTCTCTTAGCGTCGCTTCCCAAGTGCCCATGACACGTTACCTACGCCCACTGAGTGATCACAAAGCCAATCGCACTCCACGCACCAGATGCTAGACGGGTTTGAAGAATATCGACACCGTCTACCCCACGCGACACGACACACTTCTTCCCGATCTGGATAGAAAGCGAACAACACGAGCGACTCTACATGCGCTGTCGGCTGCCACCCACACCAAGCATGCAACGGGTAAACTTGCTCTAGTCCCCCAACCGGACTCCTTTGCTAGGCTAATGCAACCGCTTGATATGCTGAGGACGCGCAATGGTCTTGGAAGTTGGGAACGCCGTCGGAACGGGTATTGACACACGGGGATAGATGGGCGCGCGCTATGCCACGGGCTTTTTCTTGGATGACCCGAAGAAGCTCTTCCTGATTGGCTTTATACAGTCTTCCAGGATCATGAGAATCTGCGGAGGATGAAGGCAAGGTGAAACACAAGGAATGTAGCAAGCTTCCCAAAAGCTCGGTGCTCTCTCGAAACGCGATCAATAAGGAGTAGACACAAACTATATGGCGCTGCCGAGCTGAAGATATGCAAAGGAAAAACGGAATGCAGGGTGCGACAGATGCGAAACGATGTCGCGTTTCGAAAGTAGTGTCGCAAAGTGGTCCAGAAGGGCGACGTCCTGTGAAAAAGAAACACTTGCCAGAGTTTGATGTAACAGACAAGGAAACATTTGCATGCTGCAAAGAGGCTATTGAGTTCAGTACAACGTAACTTCTAGGGAGATTCAAAACCTCGTTGGAGTACCAAGCGGACTGACGAGCAACCGCTGCGAAGAGGGCTCTGGACCCGTACGTTTGAAAACGAAACGAAAAAAGCTTTCGTCATGCAGTCCGCCCGAGCCACAACCTTGTACTGACAGTCGTCAGTCTTATGGTAGAGCAATCGGTTGTCCGCATTGCTGCGAACGTTTTCCGCAATGCAAGGCTATCGAGAACGACGGTTTTACACCTCGCGCTTCTTCAGGCGGCACGTTTTGAAGGCGTTGTTGGAGTGTCAAACGCTCACCTCGCTAAACTCTGGCCGCATTTGCGGATTGGGGTGCCAGCATCGCTCTGCCAAGGAGAACAGCCGGGGGGGGCAGACGGGGGGGAGCGTGGGGCGTAGTTGCCTGCAGAACGAGCGAGAAACGGTCTGAAGATACACCTTTCAGAATTTTTGTCGTGAAAAGTCGTGTACAAGCTCAACCGATAAAGCTTCATCGTCCACTTCAATGACCGTACGAATGCGCTTGAATACTAGCAAAATGGAATCTGGTGACGTTGCAAAACCACAGGTCGGGTGACGTCCGAAGCGTCATCTTCAGGTTTAACTTTGCAATTATCCTGGTAGGTTATCATTCCTCGCACTGGTTGAAGGCTTTTGGAAATGTCAAAGCGGAGGAGCAGCGAATTCTGAGGAGCCCCGTTTACTGAAGCTACCCAACCGCGCGTGCTTGATCTAGGTCGAAGTTTGAGAGCCGGGGCGTCCTCAACAGAGCTCAACAGAGTGTGTGCGGCAAGAGGGAACGGCTGCCGCACCTTTGGACAACGCCAATGGCAGCTTGGAGGGGCGTGAGGCCGGCATACGGAATATCCCCTGTTAGCAGCTCCCTGGAGTGAAAACAAGACGCTGGGCGTCAGGACGAGGATGAGACGAACATGCAAACTTTCTAGAGTAAGGGTTCATCAAGAGTCGAGGACAATCAATAATCTCTGGACAAGCTACAACTGTGTCACCGGCTACAATAGCTCTGTGAATGTTATGCCCTCCAGTTTTCAGGGCCGTGGAATGTAACATAACCTCGTCCAGTTGCAGGATAAAAAGTTAGTTCACGCGCCGAGTCCAACTTCAATGTACTCATGCACCGCAAGAGACGACCCAGTCTCTCAAGTCATCGAAAACCCCCGGGAAAGCTCATCTCACGAAGCAGCAAGACCATGACGAGGGTCAAAAAAACGCTCACCACAATACTGATGAGTACGCGCCCGCCCAGCAGACGTTGGCGCATTGCTCAAAAGAGTCTCAACACGTCAACCCAAGCAGCAGAGAACCTCACCAAGTATCGATCCGGAGCGAATAGACGTCTGCTCGATAGTCGTGCCCCAGTGCTCGAGCACCTGGGACACTGTCCGGAGACACACCGGTTCCGGCTTCATGCCAAAATGCTTTGATACGGAACCCCAAACCCTGAAAGACTGCAAATAAGCTCGACTAACCAGATGACGATCCCGAACGAGTAGACGTCTGCTCGGTGGTCGTAGGCCCGGTGCTCCAGCACCTCGGGCGCCATCCAGCGGTACGTCCCCGTCTCTGCCGTCATCTCCGTCGAATCGTTGTCGAGCGGCCGCTTCACAAACTGGAGCGCGGCGGGGGTCATGCGCGCCACGCCAAAGTCGCACACCTTGACCACCTGCAACGCGAGTGGGCGTAAATTAGGTGAAGTGGTTCTTCAGGGCAGCTGCAAACCTGTTGCTGCTTGTCAAGCGCCTGAGTACCAGAATGCAAGCGCCGGCGTCGACATTCCGCCCCTGGTAGATTAAGCCAACTGGATCCAGATAACACTCTTCAGATCACAAAATATATCCGCTATATGAAAGAAACGTACTCCAAACGCACGGGACAAAGAAACTGTTCAAGTACACCACGACAAAAGCTGCACAACAAGCACAATAAGACAAGGGCAAGGGGCAACGTGGAAAGGTGAACCAGAAGAACAGACTCACGTCGTGCTCGTCGATGAGCAGATTTGCGGCTTTGAGGTCTCGGTGCACTATCCCCCGCTTGTGCAGAAAGTCCATCCCGCGAGCAGTATCTCGCAGGACCCGGATGGCGGAGTTCGGCTCGAGGCCCGTTCCCCGGGACTGCATCATGTCCCGCACGCTGCAGGGAGTGAAATCACCCCGTGTCAGCGAGCGGAATGAACACGGCGCCATCTGGTGAGATTTCAAATTATTGAAAAGCGGATGCCAATCGTCAAATGTGGGACGCGAATCGCAGGGTTCGGCTCGAGGCCCGTCCTCCGAGACTGCATCATGTCTCAGACGCTGTAGGGGAGTACCGACAGCCGTTGTTAGAAGAGAAACGAAACCTGCGATGGTCTAGAAAAGTCTCCGACTATCACGAAAGAGACGAAAACCCTTCAGGAAAACCAGCATTGCGGAGTTTGGCTCGAGGCCCGTCCCGGGACTGCATCCCGGCGCGCACACTGCAGCAAGAGTAAGAGTACTAGTCGCCAGCGAGCTGTACGGCGACAGCGTCCTAAGACCCTTGCGAACGAACTGGTGGCGGCTTTGAACGTCAGATGGTGTCGCAAAACACTGAATCAGTACAGAGCGGAACGAATCACCAAGAGGAAGAGGTCAAAAACTGCGCTCTCTCGAACTTCTGGAATAAAAAGCGCTGTCAAAAACGAGAGGAAAACACAGAAGGCAGACGAAGCGCCATCCAATAGCTCCGTAAGTTCAAACCGGGAGAAGGACACAGATTGAGAGGCGGTAAAGCGCAAACTGAAGGACACACGGTGGCCGATCGTAAGCCCCATAATGATGCAAAATCGCGACCAGTGGGCCACCATAGGTCCTCGAAGCTCCAAAGTATTCACGACGTCGAACACCACAAGAATCACAACGAAAAACACAAAGGAGAAAGGAACAAGAAAACGAAGACGCACCTCCCCCCCGCCATGAGCTCCGTGACGAGGCAGCCGCAGCCATCACGCCATCGTAATTTTCCAGAAGAAAAAGCGAATATGGACCGAGGAAAAGAGACGAGAAATGCGTTTGTTTCATCAAAGAAATGAGGCGCACCTGCCCCCCGCCATAAGCTCCGTGACGATGCACAGCCGCGGCCAATTCGAGCATGCGCCAATGAACTGAACCAGGTTTTTGTGGCGCACGATCCTCATGATCGACACTTCCTGCTTGAACATCTGGATCAGCTCCCCGGCGGGCGCCGCCCGCAGCGTGCCAGAAGCCTCCACGCCTAGATCCTCCAGCAGGATAACCTTTACCGCCACGTCGGACCCGCGGTAACGGCCGCGGTAGAGGCGGCCGGAGGAGCCCCCGCCAAGGCGCTCGCCAATGTCGAGCTGCACACAAAGAAGAGCTTAGTTTCCTACCCAGTTGATCTTTCCGATTGCTTGCTTGCAAGTTTCGACCGTCTGTTCTATTGCCCCTCATGAAAAGAAAAAGGACAGTTGCAGACCACGAGCAACCATGTTTGTACTTTGTGTTACAAAATCAATTGAGATCCCGCCGTTTCATAGACGTGAACAATCTGCCTAGGATGATTCGGAAATGAAATGAGAGAAGCGGAGGAAGGGAAAAGACTGTGGGAACCAGAGTAAGTGAATGGGCAACTTCAATTCTATGCACTCACCAACTAACCAACCATATTCTATGCAAGTGGTTGAGAAAGTGGATGTGCCTGTAAATCATACTCACTGGCCTACGGATCCCAACTGGAAACAAGCGTGCCCTTCCACTATCCACAAGGTCAGCAGCTGCTTCGACTTTTTTCTCGTTCCCACAACAATCTTCGTGAACTAGTAGTTTCTGAAAAAGCTTCAATGAAGTCCTAAAAGAACCGAAATTATGCTAGAAATGGTCCTCCTACCAGGTTGTAGTCCACCGCCCAATCCTCGTACGCGATCGCGTCCGTCGCCGCTTTCAGGTCGATGATATCCATCGGCTCCCGTTGCGGCTTCTTGCTCCGAGGCGTTCCGTGCAGCAGCTTGTTCCCAAGGGCAGAGAGCACCGCTTGCCTCAGCTCCTCAGACTGTACGGAGAGAGAGCCCTGTTGACCAAGCCTGTGTGGCGGCTGGTATCGAAAGACCGTGAAGTGAACCTTGTTAGCACATCGTCGCGGGCCTGAGAGCTGGAACAACACCACTAGAAACTGGCTCATTGCATTCTCAAATGTCCCTTTCGTATTCGTAGAGTTCCAAGGGGATGAAAGGCAGTGGAGCAAGTCAAGCAATGAATACAGTCCACTTTAAGCTGTATTGGTAAGTGGTAGTGGTTGAACACTTTGCTGCTCCATGATAAACAGCCGCACACACGTCCTTCAAGTCTGTCATCTTGCACTTGCAACATACAGCTTGCATCCGAAACATTCAATGGCAAGCTGCGTTGACAAGCTCGGAGTACTTACACTGTCTCCTGTCCATCCCTCCACCACAAACACCTCAAGCGCCATCCCGTCGCTTGTGCTGAACACGTGTGCCTCCTGCAGCGACAGTGTACGTCGGTTTGGTCATTGTAAGCTTTCAGAAAGACGTCAGAACGGGCTTGATCCAGTTGAACGCAATGGGCATCAGATCTTACTACAGCATGTGTCTGCGCTTGGATCACAGTGCACAACCAAAATGATGCACGATCCTGAGCAGAATGTTGGCAGCAGATCCGACTCAGACTTCGTTTCTGCACAAGGAACCGTCTTGCAGGAGCACGCAGTCCAGTCCGATGCGAAAGCACTGGTCTACAGCATCTCCGACAGATACTGCTGATAAGGAAAGGCGTACAGCTCGAGATAATCTCATCGGCTGCACACATCGTGATACCTTAGTGAGCTAACAAGCCCGCCTGCTGCTAACCAACGACACACCCCCGCCTGCTGTTAACCAACGACACACCCGAAGTGACATGACGTCATGCGACAGCATCCACGCTCACCCGAATGTTTAGCTCCAGTTGGAAGTCGCTCAGCGCCGACGTCATGTACTTGAGCAGCCCCTGCCGGTCCCCCGTCGCGACTGTGATCTCGTGCCCGTACGTCGCTTCCTTTCTCCGCGCCCCTATCCGCGCATCCTCCAGCTCGTCCTCCATCTCTACCAGGCTCGTGAACGAGCCAAACGTCGGCCGCGGAACCGGCGAGCTGCGAACCCTTACACCCGCCGCCACCGGGGGCGTCCGACCGTTCCCCCCCGGGCTCGTTCCAATCATGCTTGAAAGGCTGTTATTCGATCCAAATGTGGGGAGGGGCGGTCGCCGCATTGGGATCGGGACTGAGCGGCCCCCCCCAGAGCGCGAGTCAGCGGAGTCGCGCCCTGATCGGGAAGGCTCGTGCATGCGTTCGTCGCCTGCGCTGTCCTCACTGGTCCCTCCCCGCTCATCGCCAGAGTCCTCGCTCATCGACATTGCGGTGGGGCTGCCGGTCCGCGAGTTTTGCTCAGACTGCTGGCCTGGGGTGTAGGGGATGACTAGCCGGACTTTGCGCACATGGACCTGGCAAAGAGACGGAGTTACGCACTTCATCAGCTTATGGTCAATGAGACATCCGCAAGGCACGCGCTGACATGTATAAAAGTCCGGACGGGGAAGCACGCAGGATAAGCCTCACTGCATGCTCTGAGAATCAGCGGACCTCTGTGGTGCGTCAAAAAGATCTGAAAGCGGCAGCGCACAGAGAAGGCAGACTGCAAACGCAATGGCATGCTCCATGCAAATGAACAAATAAGATGTGAGATAAGCTGACAGCAGACCGCGCTGGAAACACAAGAAAGGAAGAACTTGAGAAAAGAAAGGCTCGAGCAGACTGTTGTAAGCGCACCTGAGGAGGGGGAGGCGATGTGGAGAGGCTGTTGCGTGCTTCCAGCTCCGAGCGCAGCGCCTGATCAATCAGCTGCATGTGGAGGAGGACGTCCTCGTGCCGCAGGGGGTCAATGTTCAGAGAGTACCTGAGGGGAGGGAATGGAAAAGACCATTAAGAACATTTGCTGAAGAATGCATGAAGTGTCACTTTCCGTTTTTGAATATGCACCTTGTTGCTGTCTATGAACACGTTTCAACTTTATGATCTGCGTCCATGGGGTTGGGTGCAAGTACTTATACATAAACACTCTGCAGAAACAGAACGAAGTCACATGAAGGTTGTGAGAAAACAGAGAGATTGCGCACAAACCACAGGCGCTGATGACGTGTAGAGCAGAAGCTGAGAGTGAATCATTTCCTCTGCCTCAGCTTGTCAGGCCAACTTGCGAAAGCGTAGTAGACAGGAGCATGAAGTGTCTGCAGACTGGCATGTCCAGCTAAAAACCTGTCCACTGAAAAAGAAGAAGGCAGCTCAAATGGACGGACTGACTGCTGAACTGTGCACAGTGCCCCATGCCTCCGAATCTAGGTAGCCTTTCTAATATGCCTCGCTGCATCTTCCTGAAAGTGTCCCTAAAACCGTTGTTGACTGGTGGTGCTACTTATGATTGCGGAATAGATGTGCAGCTCCCCTGAACCTCATTAAGCCTCCACAACCAAAGAGACCCACACACGTATTATGTCTCAGTTGTTTCAGCCCCACGGCTTCTAGTGTCATCAACAAGCCGGGGCATAGCCCTTCACCACGAACGCTGCAAAACAGAGGCTGTATCCTGACGACTCAAAATCCTCACATGTCTGGTCACTCCTTAGACACATGACGCACCACATGCTTTCTGCTGAGAATTCAGAAGCCAACAGCATTTAGAAAGGGCTGAGCCAACAGCATCTCATAGCTTCTATGTTACAATATGCTGCAACCACTTCAAGTGGCGCCACAGCCTCAGTTACAAAAAAACTGATCCTACACCCAGATACATGGCATAGGCTCTCATGTTGGAAACTGATATCGGCATAGACTGACTTGTCAGAATTAGCAACAGGGATTGAAAAGGAGGACACAAGAGAGCTAGGATTGAGAAGTTCTCTGAACACAAAAAAGTATCACCTCAACCCTCAGCAAGCTTCCTGGCTAGGAGAACACTGAATGGATCGCAACCGAGACATGGACGGCTTCAGCATGGAAAAGCACATGTCCTGACCATGTCAAGGTGTCAGCAATACTTGAAGAAGCAGAGGGATGAACACGAGTTGACGAGACAATCATACAAATTCTCTTTAAGGCAGCCTGGCCATAAAAGCAACGTCGAAAGTTTGCTTCAGCGGAGCCTCTATAAAAGACTACTCTGTCTTTGACAGCTCCAGAAGTTGATGCGACAGGGGTCACGATGTGACACAAAATCCCAGGATATTGCATGCTGAGGTTCCCTGAATATTCTGTGCATCTCCTACAAAAAACATTCAATGCACCAGACCTCAATCATCGCTGCTAGACATACAACCTCAGCTCTTCAACTAAAGCACCAGCAAGTAACCTACTCTACTTCCGAAATACTCAATGCCCCATTCGCCGTCTGCAAATGTACATGGATAATTGCACAGTGAGGCACTTTGGCGAGCTGCAATGATCAGACCAAAGTGGAGAAGGCAGAGGCCATCCCAGATTAGGGCTGCGCCACACAATAGACATTCTTTGAAAGGAAAAACTCTACCACTGCACAGATGCTAATCTGGGAGCATCGATGTTGACACCAAGCATGAAGTAAATCAAGTTTGGTAAAGGTGCCACTAGCAATGCGTCCAGCATCCAAACACCACACTGCTACAAAATACTTTGGCGCCGCCAGCTGAAATCAGGGTTTGGACCGTTTGACAGGGTTTCGACCGTTTGAATGAGGAGGCAGCGGCAACATGTAAGCAACACAACTGAATGGTATCATAAGCGCAAGCTCTTCTCTAGACCAACGATGCTCTTGTGAAGGCCACAGACCAATGACAGGTCGAGCATCAGAGCTACGGGTCCCAAGACAAAAACTAGAGTAAGACCGTGGGAAGCCTCAATCACTGTTGGATTTGTTTATGAGTCAAGGAGGTGCTCGGCGCCCTCGTGCGCACCCTTCAATGACTGGCATCTAAGCTCATGTGCATTGCTTGCTTGAGAACCAAACTCGCTCAAACCGGAGCAGAAAGCAATCTGGCGACGTGCCCCATCCCAACACCTCCAATACTTTTCAGAGCCATAAGTGATCCTGAAAAACCTGCAACAAGGTGCTCACGCAAGCAACACACCCGAAAACAAACCTACAAAGAGTGCCGTGTGTCCCACCTGGACGGAAGCCGCTCAAAGTGCCCTTGCAGCTGCTCGCACACTGCCTCGCTGTACCCGTACGAGCGCACCCGCTGCAGAACCTGCTTCACCACTGCATCACAGAGAGACTGCTTGACCGAGTGCTGCGGCCTCCCAGGCTGGCCCTGATTCGTCAAGAAGCGCCTCGAGCTCCCCATGTCTGCAAAGCCTGGACTATGCGGGCCGGGCTCGTATGAGGCAAAGCAGGGTCCGAGGACCCGTCCTCGAGGGGACTCGTTTCGCCCGTTTTGAGCGTCCTTGTGGCCGTTCAGGTCTGGCGGATGCCCTCCTGGCGGGAAGGATTCATGAGCCTGGAGGGAAGCCATGCGGGGCGGCCACATGCGATACTGAGATGGCTTCCCTCATGGCGGAGCAAGGCGGGCGGCTGCCCCTATCCGGCTGCCTATCCTTTGGCGGTGTTAGTATGAGCGGGTGGCTTATTGTATGCTGGTGGCAGTACGTATACTAAGTGCATGTACAGCCTGGTCTACGCCAGGCTCGTTCAAGAACGACTGCAGGTTCAACCAGAGTGAACAGCACTCGAGCGCCCTGCTATAAGACTGCTTTGGAGTCAAACAGCCGTCATAACTGACCCGTTATCAAATGTGAAGACACTCGTCCTGCTCCGCTTTGGTTTGGCTCACACCTTGTGCCGCAAACAGCCTGCACCTGCATAGACAAACAGGAAGTCCTTCCTGCACTAGAGACAAGTCCTTCCTGTGCTACTCCGCCATCCACCAGCGCGTGCGTCTTCAAGTTTGCAAATCCACCTCGACACCCTCACGACACAACTTCAAGACATGCACGAGCCGCGCCTTTCGAGTCCACAAAACCTTGGTATTCGAGAGAGCGGTGTCAATGGCCTCAAGGCCCCGCATGGTTTCACCAAATGGCCAGGAGCACTAACACTAAGAAGGACTATGTGGGGCCTGCTTGGTGGCTATCTAACGGCGCCGGAATTCACGGATACTGCCTGTACGGATTTGATTCATCTGTATTTATAATCTGTTGTTTTGAAGTGTGAGTTTGCCTAAAATCAGCAGGCTCGTGTGCGGAGCTGAGGCCGTATACCGGCTGCCGCTGTGCTGACCGGAAAAGTCTACCCGCCACATGCTAAGGGATTGCCAAGCAAATCTGGCTACCGGTGATGGAAGCTGACCACCTACTTATCAGTCGGTAACCCGGCAAAATGTCTCCAAAAGAGGGACGGGTCCGGTGACCGGTCCGACAACTTTGAGAATCTGTGGGCGCCGGTTATTTCAGTGTAACCGTCCCTCCGGGACCCGGGTTCGAACAAGATTGGAACCCGAGGAACTACCAATGAACTACCGGTAATAGGTACTTCCTGCCTACCTACCGTGTAAGGGTTAAATGGTATGTACCAGGTTTTGCTCGAACAGGTAGGTACCTAGGTCCTACGTTTGCTCGACTCTCACGAGCCTGAGCAGTGAGGATGGTGACACATACCGTAGTGGAACGTAATGATTCCAAATGGTCAAAAATTACAATTATTTTATCGAATACGACCTCAGCTTCTCAATTAATTTCTTAAATACGACCCCAAATCCGAATTGGGCCGGAATCGTCCCCCGAGCGCTTTTCTGCCCCACATTTGTTTGTTTTCTACCGACCGGTTGTACTTTTTTTTGAATCCGAACGCCCTTGAGCAATTATTTTTAGAATGCAAAAATCCACTTTCCGAACCCAAAAATGAGTTTCTAACTTTCCGACGGCAAATAATTATTTATTTATTCGGAATCATTACGTTCCACTACGGTAATCCAAATAATACAAATGATACATAATTGGGTGCTCGGTAGATCACCGGCGGTACAAACCGTTTAGTCAGGGGGGGAATTCATCTCCGATAATCCACAACTAGAATGGTGGGAAAGCAAGTCAAACATGGGATTTTTCAAGCTAGCTTGTTCATGCGCGGGCGCGGGCGCACTCAGGCCGCCCGGGCCGCGCCGCGCGCGGGCCCTGACGGTTGCTTGTGTAGCCTGTAGGTACCTACTAGTACTACATAATGCCGCCAGGCAAAGCTCAGCTAGCTAGCTAGGGCGAAGTGTCAAAGTGTGGCGCCGGAGAAGAGGCGTCAAGACATCCCGATCTGTAGTTGGTGAACCGCTGCTTGAAGGGCAGAACACTAATCTGCACGCGATTGGCTTCCTCAACATGAGGGATGAGGAGGAATTGCCTGGGAAACAGCCCCCAGGCGCGCTTCCTGCAGACGGGCGGCTGAATCAAACCCTGAAGGGTATGCAGAAGTGAGCTGGCTGCAGCTCATTCAGCACATTTGTAGCACTATTTGCAGCTTATGTTTTCAGCACGTTCCAGCTTTGAGGAACGGTTTGACGTTTGGACTGCAAATTGCATGCGAACTAGTCTTGTGCAGAGATTTCCGATAGTAGCCCGTCTACGTGTCAATTGCTCAAATGGAAGCCCTTGAACAACCATCAGGTCTAGACGCATTGACACATGATTTTCCACTTCCATGTTTGGCACTCGTCAGCACTTGGAAATTAGGGTTATGCTACCTTGGGGTTGGAAAGAACAAATCTGCATTTGCATAGCACGAATCAGATTGAAGCCCAAGCAGCTTCCTGGATGAAGTAAGCTGTACAAGTGAATCCAGCTTATGAGGACGGTTCTGCTGTTTGGGGTCCCGATCTTATGGCCCTTTTCGAGTATCAAATCAAGCGGTCTGGAGGGACAGGCTTTTAACCACCATTATGCCATAGTTGCTAAGCGGCTCTCTTTCTTTGCCCCACCAGATCTCCATACACGGCAGAGATGCCACGGATAAGCTGTTCATGCTCCATTGGCGCGCCTGGGAAAATTGCCATTCATCTGCCTATCAACGAGATAACATCTGGTCAACATGTGGTCATCAGTTCAACAAGCTCGCTAACAAGATTACCCCCCTTCTGCCGCAGTTTATTGTCTCGGGGCCGGACTCTGCCCGGGAAAATCATGCTCAGCCGAAAGAACGAGACGGCACCGAGCTCGGCCAAGCCCCCCTTACCAGACGAAGTGATTGATGATGACTACGTTGATGTCCGGAAAGGCGGCGAGGCTTCAGAAGATAGGAGCTCTCCCCAAGTGAGTGGTACAGATCCACTGCGATAGTCGTGCTTGTTCCTGCTCGCGTTTTCAAGTGTCTTGAAAGAAAGTGCTTGGCCTGAGAGCATCTGTGTCCTGTTGGAAATACGAGTTCTTCCCCGGATGGATCAGTTACGAAAGCTCCGGTGTGTCTGCCAATTTTGTCAAATTATTCTACTCTGAGATCTCTGTCAATAAAACCTCGTTAGATTATTCTAATCCCCCTGAGGCCCTCCGTCATTCATCCTTCTGGCGAGACCACCTAATCTAGAGCCCGGCTGATTTTGCAGAATCCAAGTGAGATTGTGTGGTAGCCCCGAAGATCCATCTCCTCACTACAGATCTCCCCTTTCCGGTCCAGGCTAGAACATCGGATTGTCACAACAAAGTTGGCATCCTCAACCTTTTCCTGATTCGTAAATCTCGTTATTTTGATCCAGGCCAGCACATCTGATCGTAACAATGAGGATGCAGCAGACGGGGGTGCCCGAGAGGAGCCTGGCAGCACCAGGGGGGTGGATGGCAAGCCAGGGGGGAGTCAACACGGAACCCCCCGGACCAATGGCGGACGGGCAACGGACAGTGCTCGGGTGGACCGGTTCAAGAAGGTGCTGGCCACATCAACAGTTGAGCTAGGTAAGCCGTGTCGTCGCTTTCCCTCGAATACTCCCTCGGAAGAGCGTTCATAAGGATGGGTCTCAATTCAGGAGAGGACCAGAGCACTTAGGCTTCATTGACATGCCAGATATTTGCACGGATGCTGGTCGACGAAGACTTTGCTTACCCTGCTTCTTCCCAGAGTTGAGGGAGCTGGCCTGGAGCTACATGTCCCCAAGAATAAGGCCTGCAGACTGGCGGCTGGTGCTTGAATGCGCACCCCAGTGTTCACTCCCTTCAATATCCCCTTTTCAAGACTGAGGCGCTGGTAACCTCCGCTTTGGAGCGGCCACATACTGGCGTTTGTTGCTGTTCTTTCAATCCCTTTCTCAGAGCTCACTTTCGATCCGCCCCCTCCTTTGTCAAAACAGAGGCGCTGAGAGAGCCGGCCTGGGAAGGCGTCCCCCTGCGGCCAACACACTGGCGTTTGTTGCGTGTAACCGTAATCTTTTGGTGTAGCTCACTTTCGATTCCCCTCTCCGCTTCAAAAGCAGAGGCGCTGGGGAGTTTGCCTGGAGCGGCGTGCCTCTGTCATGCAGCCACCACGCTGGCGATTGCTGTTGGGCCCGAATTTGTACTCTCTCAATCGTATCCTCCTAAAACAAAACTAGCTCGCTCCCCCTTCCCCCTTCCCTGCCAACCGGATCCCCCTTTAGAAATCGTAGCTCACTCCCCCCCCCCTCCCTCTCCCCAAATAGAGGCGCTGAGAGCGTTGGCCTGGAGCAGCATGCCCCCCTGACATGCGGCCGGCGTGCTTGCAATTGCTGTTGGGCCCGAGTCTTCACTCGCTATATCACACCCCCCTTTTTTCATAGCTCACTTCCCCCTCCCTCTTCCCTTCCCACCAAACAGAGGCGCTGAGAGAGTTGGCCTGGAGCGGCGTCCCCCCCGACATGCGGCCGGCGTGCTGGCGGTTACTGCTGGGCTACGCGCCCCCCAACTCGGACCGGCGAGCGGCGGTGCTGGCGCGCAAGCGGCAGGAGTACCGGGACTGCGTGCCCCAGTACTACGACATCCCGAACGCAGAGCGGTCGGAGGACGAGGTCAACACGCTGCGACAGGTCGGTGATTTACGTCTCGTAATTTGAAAAAAGCCGAGCATGTCTTATTTCCTGAGTCGTGCCCCTTACCATAGCCCAGGACGCTGGCAGGGATTTTGAAATGGTGACTGCAGGAAATTTTGAATTCAGATTGCAGTACTACGACATCCCGAACGCGGAGCGGACGGAGGACGAGGTCAACACGCTGCGACAGGTCGGTGACTCATATCGTCTGATTTCTGTTTTAAATTGGGTTATACTTGAGGGATTCTTGAAGACCAAGCCCGTCGCGCTTTGCTGAGACGTGAGCATCCTATGATCAAGGACACAGGCGAGGATGATTTTGATGTGGCAACTACGGGAAATTTTGATTGCCAGAGTGCAGTACTACGACATCCCGAACGCGGAGCGGTCGGAGGACGAGGTCACGCTGCGACAGGTCGGAAGCTGAATTTCTGGGTGATTCTGTTAGTCTTAACATGTTTACAATCTGGGGCATAAGCATCCCATTTTGATTAGGCAAGGAGGTTTTGGTTTGGCATTTGCGGGGAAATCTGGTGTCAATTCTCAGTGCTACGACATCCCAAGCGCGGAGCGTCGGAGGACGAGATCAACACGCTGCCACAGGTTGGGAACTCCATTTTGTGAATCTAATGACCAAAGCATGTCTCGCGTTCCTGAGACGTGCACCTTCGCATAGCCCAGGACACAGACGAGGATTTTGATCTGGTAAGTACGAGGAAAATTTGAATTTTAGAGTGCGGTACAATGACAAGCCGAACGGAGAGCGGTCGGTAACACAAGATCAACACACTGCGACAGGTTGGGGACTAATGTTTTATGCTTCTATTGGAATTGACACGTTCAGGTTTGCTGAAACATGCGCATCATACTAAGCAGGCAAGCAGGAGATCGGGTTGGCATTGACGGGGGATTCTGATTTGTCAGGTCCAAAGGGTTAGTACACGACGAGAGAGGCCCCTTTTCCTGATCGTTTCGTAAGGCTCTTATCTCGCAATTTGCGTACTGCAAACGTCCAAGGTTTTCACTATGCTGGCGCGAAGGGCGGAGCCCGCTTTGTTCAGGGCCAAAATGGCAATCTGGACCCATACTTTGAATCCAAACATGTAACAAGCGAATATACACCAGCGAGCTCTAGCCGAAGAAGGTTTTGTTCGGCGCAGATCTCGGTGGACGTGCCACGGACGGTCCCTGACGTCCGGTTCTTCCAGCAGAGCGCCATCCAGAGTTCGCTTTCGCGCATCTTGTACATATGGTGAGCCGGCGCTGGATTGCTGCCGTTGGCCTAAGCGCTTTATCGTTGCAGAATTTAGTGTCATTCTGTTTGACGCCCACACCTCTCTCCGTGTGTTGCACACATTCCTTTATTTCTAAGGGTGCGCGTCGACAGAAAAGCTGCAAAAAGCTTTCCAGCTTTCTTGGCCAGTCGGATGCCTTATCAGATCCACGTGGTAGTCCAAGGTACATACCGGGAACGCATCATGAATTGAAAAGTACCGTACCTCTTACCTGTCGGTACTGCAAAGGCAAGACTGAAGGCCAAGTAGGTTTTCGGTCGACGTGCGACCTAACCCAAGGCATCAGGAAGTACAAGTGCTGCAAACCGAGAGCTTCTTGGATAGCATCTGTTATAGCGTTGAGTTGCTGCCAGGTTTCAAGCCTCGGTGCATTTGTAGCTCGTACATCGGGACGCAACGGGCGTGTCTGGAAACCTGTGCGAGTCGTCCAGGACCGTCTGGCACCCACCGTTGACGTCCCAATTCGGAGTTTGTCCTCGTTTTCCTGGTTTCTGGTTCGGGAATGCCTCAAGAAACTAAGACGAAGTCCTTTGATGCCTCCAGAGTCTGGCACTTTCGTTTGTACCGCTTCTAGCAATCACGATTCTATTTGCTTATAGGATACCTTGGTACGTGGCCCACACAAGCTTCCTTTTCATTGAGACCCACATCGTGGATATGTGTGTCATATGGCTGATGCGTCAACTCTTCCAATCAACCAGGATTCGTTTGGCTCTTTTCATCTCCTACCAGGGCGAACCGGTTACCTGTCAACGGCTACGCTTTGACATCTAGAGCAGCTGTTCAGACACTTCGAGCATTAACGGGCTGCTTCGGTATTTGCCACTTAACATACTCTTAAGATAGTGTAAGGGATTTTCTTCATGAATTGACATCCGAGTTTTACCACCCAGGGCGATACGACAACCCGCCAGCGGCTACGTCCTAGGCATCACTCCCTCGGTAACCCCATCTCCTAAGCACTCATAACCGGATCAATCTGAATTACTAACCCGACTCTGAACCTTCTCGTTAGGGCGTTCCGACATCCCGCCAGCGGCTATGTCCAGGGCATCAACTCCTGGTAACCCCTTCTCCTGAGTACTCATTGACCGGATCAATTTGAATCACTAACCCGAAACTAATCTTTTCCGTTACGGCAAGTCGGCACCCCGCCAGCGGCTACGTCCAGGGCATCGACAACCTCCGTGACCCATCTCCAAAGTACTCTCAATCGGATGGAATTGATTCACTGACCCGATCCTAAACCTTCTCGTCAGGGCAATTCGGCACCCCGCCAGCAGCTTTGTCCAGGGCACAAACTCCTTTGGTAACTCCATCTCCTGAGTACTCATTAAGTGAATCAATCTGAATCGTTAACCCGGTTCTAAACCTTCTCTTTAGGGCAATCCGGCACCCCGCCGGCAGCTACGTCCAGGGCATCAACTTCCTTGGTAGACCCATCGTGTGATGTCTTATTTATTGGACTAATTTGAATCACTAACCCGATTCTAAACTTTCTTGTTAGGGCAATACGGCACCCCGCCAGCGGTTACGTCCAGGGCATCAACGACCTGGTAACCCCATTCCTCGCCGTGTTCCTGAGCGAAATCCTGGAGGGCGACATGGAGCACTGGGACGCAGGCAATCTGTCGCCCGAAACTCTGTACACGGTCGAGGCCGACTGCTACTGGTGCCTCTGTAAACTGCTTGACGGCATACAGGTAGGCTCGATTCTTTGGAAGTGAATTTGTTGGGCAAAATTTCCGAGCGGCTTTGTATGCAAGGGACCAACTGAAACGTGGTTCTTCTCTGTTGTCGGGATGGAGACAGTGCAATATCGCAGTTACTTCGGACCGAGACGCTAAGTTGAGATTCATATACGGATTCGACGGAGTACACTTCTGACTTTATGGGATCTTTGGCTATCATGAGTTGAAGCTCCAGGGATGCGCCCTTATAGGGTCATCGTCAGGCGCTATGAAGGGAACCCTTTTCCACTCTGATTGACACTTTGAGTGCCAGGACTCCGTTGATAAATGCGCAACAAGATTAAGGGCTTGACGTAGGCAGATTGCGCTGGCGTCAGCCTTTACAGTCTCTACCCATATCTCTTTACGTCTGCGCAGCCCGCATCCTTCAACGAGGAGCAAGTAAACTGAGCAGTTCGTTGCAACATGTGATGAGGTCATGAGACGCTTTGCTGACATCAGCAGCTTCCTTTACTGGACCAGTACAACGATTGCACAGCCCAGCATTCTGCGGCCGGTGTCGAAGTGAGGGAGCTGGTACGGTACAAGAGGAGCTCGCGGCAGATTGCAAGAGCCGATCAAATATACGTGGTGCTGACGTCAGCTCCTCCTTTCTGCAGGACCACTACACGTTTGCGCAGCCCGGCATTCAGCGGTTGGTGTTCAAACTTAAGGAGCTGGTACGGCGGATCGACGAGCCGGTGGCACGGCGCATCGAGGAGCAGGGACTCGAGTTTCTGCAGTTTGCATTCCGGTGGTTCAACTGCCTGCTCATACGAGAGGTGAGCGGAACACGAAGGAAATAGAGTTACGGAGGTCCTTGATAGAACGGTCACTCTAAGTATAGGCCTTTGTTGTCAGCTCATAGGAAAGGAGAACGAAAAGAGGAATGAACTTCGACAATCAACAGGTTACTGGAAAGGCATTTTGCATTTGCTAGTTGACCGCTGGCTCATACGAAAGATAAGCGAAATGACAATAAGACCGCCTGCGTGTGGCGAAGACTGTAAAAGGTTTAACGAGGCTTCGTCGTTCAGGGGGTTTGGTGTCGGTCAAGAGTGTCGATCAACGGGGAAGGTTTGACATTCATGACGGTATCAAACAAGTGCAACTTGCATTCTGGACCCGAGTGCCTCGTTATGCGAGCCAGATAAGATTGAAAAGGTGCCGAGCGAAAGGACTTAGACACTCTAGTCCTGGAAATCGACTGTCAACTCCTGCGTTGGCAACGCCCATCCAGGATCACGCACCTTCAGTGTGCTTTCCTGCTCATGACCTCACAAAGAACGTCTGACACGTGGCGTTCTCTCTGCAGTTGCCGTTTCACTTGGTGTGCCGGCTGTGGGACACGTACCTCGCCGAAGGCGACGGGTTCGCCGACTTTTTGGTGTACGTGTGCGCGAGCTTTTTGCTGACGTGGTCTGACGAGCTCCAAAAGCTGGAGTTCCAGGACATGGTGCTCTTTCTGCAGCACTTGCCTACCAAAAAGTGGACGCACCAGGAGCTAGAAATAGTGTTGTCGCGCGCGTATATGTGGCGCGAGATGTTTGGCAGGTCGCCGAACCACCTGAACAGCAGCTGACGTGCATTGAATGTCATATGTAAGCAACTTATCGAGGCTCATGAACATTCGGGCTTCCTACTGCCAAACCTGTGCTGTATAGTATTGACATGAGAGCGATCAGTGAATTTAACCATTCAATTGTCTCTGTCTTGGATCGGTGGCGCATTCTTTGGTTGAGCCGGGCGTGCATATTGTGGGCGACTGCCAATATTTGCAGAATGCACAGCAGCGTCGTTGGGACGACCATGTCGAACGTGAGTACGTAGCTGTGAATCCAATTGTCGCACATGCAGTGGCGGCATAGTGATAAGTACGCGAGCCTGATGCAAGACTCTACTATTGAATCCGAGTGACTGATCAAGGCAGCACGCGCGGCACTAGTAGCTACATCGTTCATGACTCAAGACTGAAACGAACCTGAAATCGATCGACGGCGGTCAGCTTTCAATCGATCACGAGGCCGGGGCTGGCCTGCGCGCAGATTATATGACTACCGTCATATACCGGTGCCGCGCCTCGCATCAGCACCTCCTAGCATCAATCCAACCCGTGGGATCGCCGGAGAAACGGATTAACTATAGCCGCCTCCGCCAGCGCTACCATGCCAGGCACATGAGTGGGACAGGTTATAATGTGATTCGACTGGCATGTCGTAGGTGCAGCTGCCGGCACGGCGTTCGATACGGCCTAACTTAGGATATCCCTATGAATTGAATTGATAGGAATGTCCTGACTGATATATAACCCGAGGGTTAGCTTAACCACCATGCTGCGCGGCCCATGCAGTTCAGGCTTGGGCCGCAATAAGATGGGCTGGTCGGACCTTCAGGGGGACTAATGTACGTTGTCGAATCGAACTTCGGGCTCGGACACCATGCCGGAAGCGGCACCGGACTCAGCGTCCTTATCTTCTGTAGCGCAACGTCGCACAGTGCTGTCCAAGCGCGATTCGTGGGATGCAAACGCTTGCTATCCTGATTCGTACCAAGAGGCAAGCCAAGATTGCACATCCGTGAACTAAACTGTCATATAAGGATCTCCCACGCACACTGAAGAAATACTACATGGTGCAGCGGCCTCAAACCTGAATCGTGCGACGCCAGTCGAATCTCAAGTAAGTACGAAGTATGCCGGGCAGAGCGGTCTGCCGGATGCTCTCACGCAAACTGTTGGGCTAGCTCGCTACGGTTCTGTGGGCGACTCTTCGGCGGCTCCGCTTTGGCCACGGTCTGTCTCCGCGCTTTGCAACACCGCAGGTACTCTTCCAGCGTTGGCAACTCCTGGGGGACTTGCGCTCGTATCACCTGCAAGTGATTATCTTGTTTAGGGAATAGGCTGCGCTAGAAGTTGGTCCTGCTTGACTGTCAACGTCTTTGCTCAGCAATTGGTTTTCACGAATCGTTACACGGGACGCCCTCGGATCTGCGCTCGGATCACCTGGTTGCGCACGTATGCTCAACTGCCCAACTAGCAGCTTTTAATTGCGTCAAAACCGCTGAACCGAAGCGTCGCCGAGCTTGGTTTCTTGCGGATCCTCTTTGTGTTCCGTAGCCCTACAATGCGGGAAAGCATTCCCTACGGTTTGCTTGAGGGCTCAACAATCTGACGCGCTCGATCTTGTACGATCAACTGAGCAGATTAAAGACCATAGAACTTAAAAACGGATTCTCGATTGCCGCTGCACCTCGAGAACGTCGGGCTCCAGACCATTTCCACCTTCCGTCTGCATTTTCGGGAATCACTGTGCGCCAATGCCAACCTATCCAATCAATCTCAGCTCAGCTCAACGAATTTTGGCGAGCGTGCTAAGCGCGAGTAAAGTTGGCTCTCGAACCAGGTCTACAAAGCCTTTCCCTGCCCTACTTTCGGTGGATGCACAATATCAGCGGACTTGGATCCTTCGATGCTAAGACTTCGCGAAATGCAAACAGGGGGATTCTTCCAATCGTCTGACGTACGACTCATCGACAGGGAAAAAAACTTAGTTTCTTCTTGCTCTACCATTGATTCTTTGGCTTGAGGGTTAGACCAGAATGACCGGAATAACCGGAACGACCGGTACACCACTCGGGCTCCTTGAAATATAGCCTGGTTCTTAAAAATGCTTTGGCTTGCAAGTATTGGGCATTGTTAGACTCTTTCCCTTTCCGTTCATTGCTTGTTGCAGCTCCGTTTCCTTTCCGTTTCCATTCCGCTTACCTTGGACGCCCAGTGCCGCTCCGCCTGCTCGCAGATGTCGCGGATGTCCCGCCCCGACATGCTCTCGGTCGCCGCCGCCACCGCTTCCCGGTCGGACGCCGACAAGTGCTGAGCGTATTGCGCGAAGATCTCCTGCCGAGTCCTGCGGACGTTCCACCACGTTACTAGATAATTATAAGCATAATCAGGAAAGAAGTGATTACTAATGGATAACAGCTCCAACGATTAGTAATTGGCTTTGAACATTTAATCGAGCTCTACGTTTCTACGAAAGCAAGGCGACGATTGATGGGTGTAGTGCCAATGATTCCCTGCCAGATCCTGCGCGCCTTCAACCAGAGTGCCCACAGTGAACTGGCGCTCTCATCAGGCTTTACATAATAGTGGTTGCGTTCCCTTTCGAATTCTACTTTTCCCAAAAGGCAAATGCAAAATCCATTTCGCTAAGTAGGAAGCGAGGACTCAGAGGCAAGACTTTGAAGAGAGTGTCTTATATTCCGACTCTTCAGGAGCTTGTCTTTCACCTGAAGTCCGGAAGGCCGAAAGTGAGCGCCGTGTCGAAGCGGCTCAAGAGCGCTGCATCTAGGTCCTCCTTTCGATTCGTAGCGGCGATGACGATCGTCCTCCGGTCCGGCTCGAACCCGTCCAACTGTTACGACAACGGTTTTCGTGAGAACGTACAAATGCAAGTACACTTCCAACCTTGTCCGTCATTTGTTTCAAAACTTGTCAAATCCACTCAAATTCGAATATAGCTCGTCTGTTTCGCGCCAAATAGGGGCTGTCCAGGAATCAAAAAGCTATGGAATCCTTAAGACAGGACGGATTCTTTGATGACAGTGTCGAAAATGTTGACAACGGCGTTCTGATGTCAATCATCTGACATTTAAAATGCAAAGCCTAATTCCCAGTGTGATGAGCTGACCTCTTTTGAGACAATCAGACGGCCCAAAACGGAGGGCTCGGATACAATGGCTCAATCTGACGCAAAAATACAGATAAGTCTAGCTCTCATAACCCACAGGAATTCTGGAAACTCAAACTGAGACCCAACTCAAGATATGAAGCCCACCCTAATCCTTACACCATAAGAACTCCAGCCTAAACCCCCTAAGTAATCCGACCGTCCGTCCGGTGCTGATCAAGTGAAAGCTGCTAACAGTGGAAGACACAAAACTTAGAGCGACGCAAACATCTGTACCTGCCGCAGGAGCACCGAGAGCACTCGCCGCGTCGCCTCGTGCATGCCCGAGTCCCGTTCCGTTGCTAGCGCATCGATCTCGTCCAGAAACACAAGGCAGCCGTGGGGGAAGTCTTTCCCCGCGTTGAAGACTGCCGCCAGCAGCCGCTCGCTCTCGCCGTAGTACTTCGAGGCGACCGCTTCCAGGGGGACGTACAGGAGAGGGACGCCAGCGCGACCGGCGATCACTCGGGCGGTCGAAGTCTTGCCGGTCCCTGAAAGATTGAATCAAAAAAGCATTCAGAACACCAACAATACCGACATCAAGGACGATGATAGAAACACGAAGCCAACGACACCATTACTCTGGGTGTCCGGGGTTGCGAAGAAGTGACGAAGCTGTGTACAAGAGTTATCAAAATGTTCCCAGAGAAAACAGTTGCGTCGGTCGTCCGAAAGCGACTCGAAAGGGCAATCCTCGTTCGGGTGTGGAATTTCAGAGTCTGAAGCTTCTTTACGGGAACGTCTCACTTCTCTTGAGAAAAAGAAAGGCCTTCCTTGCAAAAGCTTTGTAGAATGCGGCCGCTTGTGGAGAACCAAGTGATGTAAGTGAGCGCCCATGCCAAGAGGACTGTCTGCCAGCTTAGCAATTACCTGGGAGGCGCAAACTAGCGACCTCTTGACCAAAAGCTCGTTGGGCTTTGTGGAAAAGCCGAGGAGCTGGAACAGATGAAAGGGCACATAATTTAGGGCCAAAACTACGCGGTTCTATCAAATTCCCCTCAACGAAGCTTGGCGAACCAAACTGGTAAAAGTTCGCACATCGAACTCGAGCGCCAGCATACTTTAGAAGGACCAGCCCGCAGACATAAGGTTTTGAGAGGAAACAGTCAGCTAATTCATCTGCATCCGAAGAACTTACTCAAGTGACTTGGTTAACCTCAAGGGGACGACCAAGGAAGTTTCGAATACGTCGACACGAACTCTTCGGCAAAGCCCGTTCAGTATATTGACGTCACAGTTGCGTTTTAAATCCCCAATCGATGGATCCATGCATCAGCCAACCGCAGTTGAGGCCAGGCACAGCGTAGCAAGAATCATCACTGAATAATGACTGGAGGGCATTCACACCTGGCGGCCCGTCAAACAGGATTGCGCGCGGCCGGTTCGACTCGTACTCCCGTCGCGTCCCCCGCGCAATGCGGTCGTACACCTCCGGCCGCTGCAACGCCAACAGAATAGTATCCTCGATCTCTTGCTTCTGTTCCTCATATCCCGCCAGATGGCCCCACGTGGCACCCTCAGAGTTCGCGGGTTTCTCTTCCCCATCTTCTTCCGACAACGTCTCCGCCCCATACACAATCACACCCATCGACTCGAGCTTCGACAACGCTGCCGCGACGCGCCCCCTGGTTTTCCGCTTCTCTCTCGCGACTTGCTCGTTGGGCTCAGAACTTCGTAAAGGTTTTTCGTCGCGCTTCCCTTCCGGCTTGCCGATCCCGATCTTGACCCCGTTTGCGATGGCGTCGAGCTCCCGTTCTGTGAACCTCCCCCGGCGCATGTATTCCACTTCGGTGGTTGGGTCGCCGACCAGGCTCTGGAAGATGACAATGCTGACACTGTTCGATGCCGCAGAGGGCTGATTTGACTGGTCGGAAACGGAAGTGTTAAGGGGAGATGGAGGGGTGGCGGCGGCGAGCTGGTTCGTGTCTGGAGAGGTCTGGCTCTCGTTTGAGGCTGGGGGGCTCTGGAGGGAAGGGAGGATGAGGATGTGACGAGCGACGGGACTGCAAAAAACGACAACAAGAACGACCATTTATGATAAGTGAATTTTATGCACTACTAATCGATGAATACAAATACAGTAGTATTCATTGACACCAATGAGAATTAGCTTTCCGTTAGGCAACCTTTTCCTATTATTCAAAAGCGTGCGTGTAAAGATGATTGTTTATTTTGTTGAAAGGATGAACCTGACAGCAATTTCAACTTTCGAAGAAGTAGGTACATTGATGTCATGGCAGCTGAATGTGACAGTAAGGACTGACATGAAACCTGCCTACGACTGCATCACCACAGCTTACCCAGTATAAAACCGCAACCATGCCAGGGCTTGCGATAGATTCGTCTGTGGAGAGCCTATGGCTGCAGATCTGTTCTGCCACGTTCTGATTCTTCAACAAACTGTCAAAAACGAAGCTCTACGTCCAATAAGTTGGAAGAAACCAAAGGCTCATTAATACACCTCCAATGACTCAAACTTCAACATCCAAACCATTGTGTTACTGTTCTCACAACATTCTGTTCTTGCGCCTTACTTAGGTTCAGAGCTTTACCTGTCATACGCCTGCACTCTGACCAACGGCCCCGAGCTCGGCGCCCCCGCGTGCGGATCTTCCCCCAGCCTAGTTACCGCATCCACCATGAAATGAGAAAAGTCTGCGCTTGGGGCCAGCTTGAACCTGACTGCCACCTGCTGCCCTTTCTTGCTGATGATTGGCCACGGGACTCCCTTAGTGTTGCCCGGCTCAAGGTTGGCTAACCGCTTCGCTAACCCTTGGCGAGCGTGGGAAACCTCGTCAGCCCAAGGGGGATCGCTTTTGCTGCTGGAGGAGGCGCTGAGTGAGAGATCTGGAGAACCACCGCTTGCGATGTTCATGTTGACTGCAGCGAACTGCTGCTCTGTTTGGCTAGATGAATCTCTATCTGAAGTTGTTCTGGTGGCAGGGTTTGTGGAGATGGGGTTTGCAATGCTGGGAGGAAGCTCAGAAGGGGAGACGTCTTGTTGTCTTTGGAAAAACCCATCTCTGTCCACTTGCATGGCAGAGAAACGTGGCCAGTCAACAGAGAAGTCTCTCGCTGCACCAATGTCATTCACTGATTGGCCGGAGTGAGAAACATCTGGTGGGAGTGTTCCCTTCTGATGGAAAGGTCTCGCAGCATTGCTTGAATCATCACCGGAGCTCTGTGCTTCGTAGTGGTCACTCCTTCTGTCCAGGGCAGAGCTGTCCCTCGTCCTGTCAGAAGAGCTGACATCAGCATCACAATTGGCCACAGGATTCTTGGCGCCCCAAAATGCCAGCAAAGCGGCACTTGCAAGAGCTGCACCAAACCGCTGATGAGCTCCGCCAATTCGCTCATGTTCAGCGTCGAAACACTTCTGAGCTGCTCCATGATGTCCACAGAAGTTTCGTTCACTTCCAAATTCCTCGACTCGTCTACGTACCACTGCTGTTGAAGCGCAAAGAGGCGCATGGTGCAGATGATCCGAGCTCTCCTTTGACGCGATCGAGGCTGTTGATGCCAGGCAGGGCCAGTTCTGAAGCAGCTTAGACGCGAGCAGCAACTGGCAGCTGGCTCTGATTGGAACAGCCATCTCCAGTAGCGCACAAAGGACGCTTTCAATGAGCTGGACTTCGCAAGCTAGAGCTCATTCCCCTTATCATAGGGCCTATGCCTGGGACTCTGGGAGGAAAGGTACCGGCCACCATTTGCAAACCTCTGATTGATCAATCTCGATGTGTGTCACGCGTGCAGATCAGATTGCTGAATAGTTCGTGCTTGAAAGGGGTGCAGTTTTGTCTAACAGTCTCGACCCCCTGAAACTAGACAGACAAAAACCGACTGCAGTTCACACCATAGCGTTACGGTAACCACCACTTGGGTTACGTGCCGCCAACATCCTCAGCATTGCCCAAAATTGAACACATGCATTGCCGAGCAGACTTCTCCTTCCTAACAAATCCGCCAGCATTTGCCCCTCCTATCTCGTTCTGTGCTTTCGCTCAGCACCACCGTATTAGCAGCTGGGTTGGGAGCAGAGAAGCGTTGTTACGCATAATGCTGGGCCAAGACCTATGCTGCTACATGCTTCTAAACTGACGAGTAGTGGAGCGTCAGATGATGGTGGCCAGCTCGCAGCGGCGTCCGTAAGACTGCCTCTGCAGATTTTGATTGCGTTCTGCAACCAGCATCTTCCCAAGCAAACGATGTGTTACTAGAGTCAGCGCTGATAAGCAGCGATGGAGGGGTGGTGGGAGGATGTCAAGAGGTTCTGCAGGTGAGAAGTATTTCTGGGTGGAAGTCTTTAAGTTTCAAGAGCTGCTTCGGTTGCAATCTTCTGCAGTGACCGAGACACTGCAATAATAGCTGTCGGATTGAAGGAAGCGGTTTGACCGATTGGTTAAAAAGTGCTGAATGTGGGGTGGTGCAGATTGACAAACAAGATCTGTATAACTGTCTTCATACTCCACCATCTTGAAGGCTTCTGATTTAGTGTTAGGACCTGAAAGTTTCTGTCTGACTACATGTCTTTGCTACCCGCTTTCATGGGTCCAAATCAGGTGCTGAATCTCAGGACGTTAGATCAGTACTGCCATCGGCAGTCTCAATCCTTGTCAACACCTCTTTTCATTTTAAGGTCTGTTAGCAGTTTCTGAGCTCAGAGTGTTGCTAGACCATCTCCTTACCCACCTGCTTTAACGAAATGCCCAGTGCGTGCAGTCAGGCTTTCAGCAATGATTCTCTTAGCAGAGTTGCAATCTTTAGGACACAGCTGACATCGGCCGGTCAGCCAAAGTTTTGATCTCGTCGTCAAAGTGCGAAACACTTTGAAACAGGTCCAATGCTTTGAATTTGAGATATAAGTGATCATTGCAGAAAGTCACCAACGCACTTGAGATCGTCTGGCGCTTGAGCAATTCGAGCAATTCTCACCGAAGACTATACAGTCATACATAGTCAGTGCAAAAAGTCACCGTCGCACCCTGCCAGGACTACGGTGGGGTTGCCTGAGGGGCGGGCATCCCAGCCCTCGTACCTGTACCACTTCACTTCCGAGCGCGAGTTTGTGGAGCTGCTGCATGAAGGGGACCCCGTGGTTGTAGCGTTTACAATAAGGTCAGGCATTCTTCTTAATCCATTTCTTGACCTGGTTATTAAAGTAGCTCTTGTGATGTTTGAACCAGGTCTTTTGTAGCATTGAGGGGCCGCTTGAGCATACCTTCTGTTGAGTCCAGGTCGGATAATGGCTGCTGACTAAGATTGTGTTCTGACTTTTTGAGGAAACCTTCAAAAGGTAACATGCACTGTCAGTTAGGTTACTTAGTTGACTTAGTTACGCTGTTAGTTGGACCCAGCTCTTGTCCAAGTCCCGGACGCCCTTGACAAGGCCTCGTGACAAAGCTCTCAGCTTTGCTCATGAATTGTTGCTTTACTGGGCTCTCAAACAAATGCAAAAGGGCTTTGGCTAAGCATGTTACTTCAACCAGCCAAGTCTCGGCAAAGCCCTTAACCGAAACATCTTTGATGCTTTGCGCTCCACTGAGAAAATCGATTCTGACCTCTACATAGCCCTTTGCCCACATGCCTGAATTAAAAGAGTGTCAACAAGACACCCGACGTGCGACGTAATTCGTTGATGGGGTCTCTTAAAGGAGTTTCGAGCAATCTTCTACCATACCAATCTTGGAGGTCTCCTTTTTATGAATTGCATCAAGGATTCTGGCGAGTCCTTTGTAGATTCAGCAGCAGAGTCGAGGTCCTTGAGGTTCCCTTGTCGTCTTTGACTAGCTCGGAATCATGATGCGCAATATTGCTTTGTAAAACACAGAAGTTCGAAGTTGATTTAGTGTTCACATTTGACACTCGCACTAGGTTAGTTGAGAATTGTCTCAAGGCCGTCACTTATGCAGACGACGCATATTCTTCTCGATTCATCTCACTAGCCGAAATCAGAACGCTATGATTCACAAGCTTGTCAGGGGCGGCCTTGTCTTCCCCTCCGTGGTTGTAAGCCGACCGTTTTCCCCGCAGTTGTCCGCACGCCCGCTACTTGGACAAGGCCCTAGAAGCCGCCGCAGCAGAATGGGAAGGGAGGGTCAAATTTCTGCGGGTACGCGGCGTAATCTAAAACTTGTCTTCTTGAGAATCTACGGTTCGAAGAATCGAACATCATGCTCTCTGGCGAGCTTTGCCAGACCACGCGGTATGCGCTTATGCAACGCTCAAGCGATTACTCCTCAGACGGCCATTTCGTGAGGTTGAACCCCTCAGCCGATCATGTCTGGTCTGTAGAATGCTTCTTGCCGGTCCAGTAAATGAAGCTGGGCTGGAAAACCGGGGATGCCTCTGATCCACGTGTCACTCCTCGGTTTCTCAGCTAGCCCCTATAGCTAAGGGTCATGTGTCCCATGCAGCCTCGCTCTGTCCGTATGTTCGCCCATGCCGAATAGAGTCGGGGCTGGACGAAGTTGTCAGCAATGACGTCACAAGCGACCGACTGTGTCTGGACAATCTTCGCACCATACCCGGAAAGGAACCAGCAGATTATTTGCGGCTGATATCTCCATCGTGGCGAGTCGTCCGCATGCCACACGTGTTCTTGTTGACGAGCTAGTCTGCCACGGCTGCTACTTTCCCCAATTTGTCACGGCCCGGTACCTTACTGCGTCAAGTAGAGTCTACATGAACGGGTTTTGAATCAGTTTTGCTGTCTTTCTGGAAAAGTAGTTCATATTCGCTGCAGGTAGAGTGCCCCAAGTATCCGGGCTTCTGCATCACGCGCCAACGGAAGGACTATCCGTTCATCGAAATTTTCCAGAGCTCTCAGCAGGTGCGTAGGCCTCGCTTCTCCCTCCGAAGCCTGCCTGCTCTGCCCTGAACGTTCCATCCTCTCCTTTTGCGTTTCGTTCTTGTACATCTTGCTTCTCTTCTAGAAGCAGTGGGAAGGAGACAATTCCTAAACGGTTCGCTATGTTGTTGCCCCGAATCCTTTGTCTTCGTTCAGGCTTGGAAGGAGTCGTCAGGGGAATGATGCTTTTTCCGTTGACGAGTTTATCTCTCGAACGTGATCGTGCAGATGAAATCCCATTAAGCTCACAAACTTACTTGCTATGTGCAGGAGCCGACCCTAGACGAGCAGCGCAGCAACATTATCAAGTACAGCGTCAAAGTTATGCCCGTAAGTCGCCTTCTTTCAATTCACTCAGAAGTGGGATATCTTTCGTCGGGTTGCATGCACGATGGGAGTGGGGCTGTACGCTCGTCTGACTTTAGCTACCCCCTCTCATCTCACTGAATTGGGACTGGTTACGCCGATGATTTGTCGCCTTTTCGAGCTGCATTCACAGCAAGTGTTGCCAGAGTGGGAGAGGGAAATTGAGTTAAATCGGCTTTGTTTGTTTTGCAGTATATGTACGATCCCAGTCCTTACGGTTTCCGGGAGTTCTTCAAGCGCTACAACGATAATTTCAGCCATCTTGAGTAGCTCTTGGAGCCCAATTTGCTGGGGACTTGAAGAAGTCATGCCGACGAGAGCAGGCACTGCGGCGTTTCAGCCTGGCCACGTGGCGACCACGTGGCAAGGCCCCAAGGGCGATTACCCTGCTGGCCATGCTGACAGTGCGTCTCTGTGCACTCTGCTCTGACTTTTTGCCAGGACAAGACTAACAAGAGTACACCGGAGTAGTGTCATGCAGATCATCGAGTTGGCTGTACCTAGGCTAGGCCAGTCCTTCAGGGCTGTGCAGACGGTACGCTTGCTAAGAAGATGGCGGCATGTACTTGTCATGGCCGTGCGTAGGGTGGCCTGGCATTGCGCGGCTCTCTTTCAGTGTTGAGCGTGAAGTAACGCTGCGAGTCACTTCCGCCTGAGACTCTAGCTAGCGGTGCGCCTTGCTTCTTCAAAGTCACTCCTATTGATTCAACTAACAACTTACATTCTAGGAATTTTACAGGCAGCATGTCATTGCTGGCACGCCTGTACTTACTAAAATGAAACGGATATCCACCAGGATTAAGTTACCCCGAATAGTCGGACCGCCGTCTCAGAGCCACCGTCGCTGAATCGCAATTGCTTTGTAAAGTTTGGAAAGTATAGGATGATTTAAGCTGCAGGACGTACATGTACACGTTGAAGTGCTTCGGTTTCACTGAGAGGACTATACACGGGCTCTGTGATGATTGCATGAGGATCACCGCGAAAGATAGCCTATACTCGATTGAACCTCCCGTGCCGCCCGAGCTACTAAATTATCAGATATACCGTATTATAGTGCAATTTCGCGCGGTTAAGTGCGCAGCTCTTCGCACATGCTTATCTACGTACGTGGTGTCGATTAATGTAGATATGAATCATTGCATCCCTGCCAGCGCTGCCATGCAGGCCGCGCTGTGCGCATCGGTTGGATCCTCTCACAAATAATGATATCAAATATACGTGGCGAGGTCCATGTCCCGTTTGACGAACTTGAATCGAACACGAACGAACGTATACCAGCGTGCAATGTTCAGAATTAGCGCCTGCCACTGCCAGGCTGCCGCTGCTGTACAGTAGTGTATAGCATGCCATGATGTCCTCTGAAGATCGGCCGACTCTTGGTTGGACGTCCATAATTAGTCCGGACTAACGTATCGCCACCTTCTGTTTAGCGGTCTAAAACGATATGTTTACACTTCCTCTCGCAAACGAAAGGGTGCTTAAGTTCTATGTACAAACTTCATCTAGCTACATCCGCAGATTACAAGCGTGCAAGCTTACTTGACGGCATCGCTTCCCTCAACCGGTCCGTCGGTGTAACTATACACGAGCGCTTGATATCCTTGATGGACGGACAGCCGACGAGTGCCATTGCCAGTTCAAGCTCGTCTTTCAGCATAGTGAGCACTTTCTCTACGCCGGCTTGCCCACCGGAGGCGAGACCGTAAAGCACCGGCCGACCAACCTGTGCGAAACGACAAGCTGTTCAGCTGCGGCCACGTGGCACTGCATGCCAGACCATGGTGTCGTTGCACAATCCGACCGTTGTACGGTACGGGGAATGGGTCTGTTTTGGAGACCATGCGCACGCAACACACCGATCATGGCTGAAGGGCGATGAGAAAGAGGGAACGGTGCGAGGTTACAGCCTCCCAGCAGACATGAATTTCCTTCATAAGCTATGAAGTATTTCCAGGTGCGAAGAGACACAAGAAGGTGTCTATCACAGGCGTGCTCCTGCGTAATCTCAGAGACAACCGATCTAGGTGTCTCGAGCGTCCTCAACACAAAAATTTGATGGTTGAAAGGGTGAGCCGATTTAGATGTCCTTTTCTCCGGTCCCTCGATCAGAACTTGATTGGAGCAACATAAAACATTATTTCTGCTATACTAGCCGAAAGGGGATCGGACGTACGTTGACGTACAACGGAACAGATCGATGCCTGAAGATTCGAGAAACTCACAAGAACGGCCTTCGCTCCTAGAGCAAGCGCTTTGAGGACGTCCGTCCCCCTCCGGACGCCTCCGTCGAGGAAGACCGGAACTCTTCCGTCCGCAGCAAGCACTACCTGCGAGAGCAACCGGCTCAGCCGACTTCCTTCAGTCATTGAACATTCCTTCTAGGTTATTAGATTCCTTGCTGTTTCTCAATGCTCCTCGTGTTACTTTTGATTTACTTCCCGACTTCGTAGTCCCACCGGGTCATACCGCGACAAAACAAATGCACCCAAGCTCCTTCGCAGCGAAGTAACTTGCAGATCGCGTGCGTCACCGAACCTGTTGAACGGATCCTAAAAGTTGCTACCACTGCTATCACGGCTTGTACAAAACTACAGCGAAATCCGCGCTAAAGGCTGCGCCAGGTCGAGTCAGTCGTGAAACTCACCTCTTCGAGAGCTTGGATCGTGGCCTGGGTGTGATCTAGCTGGCGGCCCCCGTGGTTCGAAACAATAATGCCCTTAGCTCCGTGGCTGATAGCGAGCTTTGCTGGACCCACAGATGAAGTACTACGTCAGAGGGCCGCAGTCTCTAGGGTCAGTGAGGTTGCGTCGACCGAAAACCTACTTGACCTCCAGTGTTGCCTTTGCGGTATCGACTGGTAAGAGGTACGGTGATTTTCAGGCCATGATGCTATTCTGGTGTGTACCTTAGGTTACCACGTGGATCTGACAAGCCATCCGATTGGCTAAGAATACTGAAGAGCTGTTTGCCGCTTTTCGGTCGACGCGCACCCTTGGTTGGGGTTAAGGTCGTGCTCACGGGAAGCTCGATGGTGTGCGACAATATACTAGAAGAGGATACGATAGCAAGATCACGCTTGGATTTCATGTGGGAGGAAGTGTCGACATGCCGCGCTGATGGCCTTCAAAAATGGGTTCCTGCAGTCTGATTTGCAGGACTCACACTAGGAAAAGGATATGTTTATGAGGCAAGGCCTGACGTTAGGAACATGTCCAGCGAATTCACTCGGGAGAGGGAGGACAAATACCAAAACAAACAGGCGACAAAGAAGGCTCACCATCGGCTGCGGTCATCACGCCTTTGACAAGGATGGGGAGCGACGTGACGCTTTGGAGCCATCGAACGTCCTGCACGGGAAGCCCCGAAGTTGAACTTTACAATCGTCGCAACTAGAAGGAAGGTTATCAAAGGAGTATCCGTTATCCTCAGTACGGCCCTTATCGAGCATCGAAAGCTTATTTGGGACGTGCCCTCCTTGGACAAGGTTGCAGTTTGATGGCTCGTTGCTGTAAAACGTGAAACCGAAGCAGTACAGTGTCGCCAAACGTCAGTTTGTTCGTTTCCGATCAAAGTCAAATGTGAGATTGGTTCCACAGAAAGACGCTCCACTTACCAGTAACCTCTTGTACGGGAAAATTATTGGGACAACGTCAAGAATAAGCTAAAAACGGGAGCAAGGGGCCGCGCACCTTCCACTGAAGAGAGGGGTCAAATTGACTAGCAAGGTAGAGGGAGGCCAGGGCTGGATTGGTGGAAGCCTGCAAGAAACGAAGATCACACATTGAATGGCTGGACTAAGAACGGAGGCGATGCTTATGATTGCAAAGCTTGCAGTAGATATGAAGAAGCAACGGTGTGCCTCGTCAGTGAGTGGGCTTTGGTTTTATAAGAGGGAGCCCGCTCCAACCTGTGCGAATCGACCGATCCAATCGGAGCAAGACATTGGAGTACTTGGAGATGCTTGACGAATCCGCCACTTCTTAACTTTTGGAGTTTAAGACTGCAGTCGCTGTCAAGAGCCCACGTTAGGATTCGTCCTCCGGCTCTGACAAAACAGGCATGCTCGTGACCTACCATTGACTGGACTACTCCATTTGCACAAAGCAGAATCATACGTCTTGGACGAAAGTGGACACAAGAACCTCACCTTTTCGGAAGAAACTGCGCCCAGGTCCTCGAAGTTCTTCAAAGTCATGCCAGCGGGCATCTGGAACCTGCGCGCAAGCATTCAGTTGGGCCCAAAAGCTTCACAATCTTTACCAAGAGCACAGACGCTATCCCAGTACCATTTTCAAATAACGGCTCGTGCATACCAAACACCTCAACTGACTGTGTATTGCTAGCCAATCACGTCAGTTGTTCCTGTATTGCTAGCCAACGAACACCTCAGTTGCTTCTGTATTGCTAGCCAACGAGCACCTCAGTTGCTTCTGTATTGCTAGCCAACAAACACCTCAGTTGTTTCTGTAGTGCCAACCAAGGAGCACGCGTTTCTCGACGGCTTTTCTGATATAGATTCGGTTGCGAAGATCACACTTGCAGCTGAGTTTGTGCACTGGGTGTGTGTATGCCCAGCGGCTGGGTAGCCACAAACTAGCCAGGCCGCGAAAACGCCGACAGGCGCCCCGTTTGTAGCGATCTTTGATCTCCCCCCGACGCACGACTCGCTTTCGAAGCAAGCGAAAAAGATAGCTTGACCAAAAAACGCCATAATCTGTGCGGGAGTCTCCAACTTCCAACCTTGCAACGGATTTGACCAGCAACTATTCACTCCGGCCTCATTGAAACTAAAGGATAGCCTCGGAGACCGTTTCACCTGTTCTTGACGTCAGCTTCACGTTTACCCAGCCTTGGTGCGTCAGCTGTCAGGACGATGGCTGTGTACCCGGCCCGTTCAGCCCTCTTCACTAGCTGCGCCACGAGTGCCCGGTTTCTATACACCTGTGTGGCAAATTTGGATGTAAGATTCCCAGTACATCCCAGTCGCACCAGAAATTGTTTGCAAGCTTCGAGGATCTGGTAGCGTTTCTGAGTTGTTTTGTCCAACTCTGTGTACGATCGAATTCACGCTGATAAGAATCTTTGCGAAATCGAGGGCAATCCAGCAGAAACCAAAGGAAGCTTCTGGAAGCTGAGCGGTATCTATGTGGGGGCTGTAGACGCTAAGCTCGGAAACAAAAAGCCTTCTGTTTAAATCCTCCACGCTGCGGTCATTGCTTTCCTGCAAATCCATTGTTCCTAAGCAAAGATTCCGAGCTGGCGCAGGGGTTCAATTTCGCCAGAGGACCCCTTATGATGTTCTCGAACTAAACTCTCAGAATACAGCTGAAAAAGTCTGGCCTCAAATCAAACTTCGTAAGGTCGTATGGTATTCGAACCCATGGTTTTGAATTGCGTAACTGTCATAAAACAAGGGGGCCAGGGGTGATGACCAGGCGAACCTGCCCTGACTAGATACCCGACTGATGGAAAGCAAAGACAAAACAAAGAGGAAAGATAATTATAGGACCTACATAGAGTTGGAAAAAGCGCAGGCCGGGTCCGGTCGAGGCGACCTCCTCGATGCTCGACGTAGCATGGGCCGACAGCACCTGTGCTGAAGAAGAGAAGCACAAGGGTAAGTGGGTATGCTGATAGTGACCTTGTAGGGAAAGAGGATATGAGGGTCGGAATGGGGGCTGGCTAGGTGGCTGTACTACTCTTTGAGATCTGCTTACATCGGTGCACACGCACAAGTAGAGATAGACTCAGCCACCTCTTTCAAAGAGAGATGGTTGAGCGGGGGTCAAAGTGGGGACTTGCCAATGCCCAATTCATTGTGCGTTGATGAAACTTTGTGACAAGCCAAGGACTTCGTCGTGACAGATGAGGTTTACGAGTTTGTCAAGGAGAGAACGGCTGGGTTATTCTTGGCTTGAAAACGAGCATGAATACTTGAGCGGCTTTTCACGAAAGAAGCAGGAAAAACTTTGAAGCGGTGCTTCACCATGGCTGTGCCCGTTGCCGCCGCCGCCCGCGCAGTCGCCAGCTCACCTGCAGAGGGAACGAAGAAAGGTTTTCATGCGCCTGGACCGCCGTTTGACTGTTGTCCGATTCGAATGGTTGTGCATCACAGGAGTTGAAGTTAGCTTTGAGTCAAGTGATGGACCTGTGCCCTCTCCTCTAAGGTACTCAAGAATTTGTTTCACAAGAGCGGCTGGGTCGGTTAAAGGAAAGCTTAAGCACAAAGAACCTTCAAAGGAGCTGTGAATCAAAAGAGTACAGCAATACCACAGCCACTGAAGAATATTCCCAGACAGTCTACTAGACCTGATTGTTGAAAGAGAAGCATGAGACGGAGTTGCCGGTGACTGATACCTTCATGGTGAGCCATCTTGTGCATAGCTGTGGGGGCTATCATTATGGGCATGGATATTTCGTGGCCCAGTATGCTGGTCCTCAGGTCTTGGTCACTAATGTCCACTAGGACCCTGGGCTTCAGACTGTAAGAAAAGACGCTGGGGTGAGCAGAAACAAGACAGGAAAGCTGGAAAGGGAGAGGATCAATCAGATGGCCGAGGAGGATGGCCAACGAATGAAGAAAGGCTGAGTCAGACTTTGAGGAATATTAACTTCTCAAAGCCTTTGGATGGTTGAACCCCCCCTTTCAAAGTAAGGAACAGCGAGATAGTACTGAAGTTCAAGGTACCAGTGTTGCAACTTGACCACGGTCTTTCGTGCCTAAGTGCAAACTCGTGCATGCCCCATCGTGGCATGTCCACCAGGTTCAATGTACCTTGATTGGTGGTGGTAAGTTTCACTTATCTGATCTTCTTAGAAACATCAAGGTTTTCTGTGCTGTCTACAAAGCCTAAGGGGAGTCATGCTGTATCGAGACACTTCTAGCACGGTGTCAGTATGTCATGAACACCAGATTGCATGCATTTTCAGATGTGATCAGCAAACCGCCAGTTGAAGAGACGGTCTGCTGACACTATTGCAAGGACGTTTCAAATTGTCGAAGTGTTGTGCTGACCGATAATGCTCAAACGCAAAGCGGTTCAGCTTGAGTGTGTTCTCGTCCTCGGCTCCAGATGCATAGTAATCATAAACCACCTTTGAGAGCTTCTGTTTGGCCAGCGGCTCAAGCTCCATGACATTGGTGATGTGGTCCATGTCCATTGTTCGAAGGCCCAAAACCAAATTCCCCTTTTCCTCTGGTGCAACAACCCTGAAACCTGGAAGGACTGCGCCTCAGGATCCTGTTGGCTTAAAGTTATGGAGAAGATGAGGCCTGGCTAGGGGCAATTCAGAGGGAACCCTTCAGGTCGTGATGCTGAAAATTAACGTAGAAATTTTATGTAAGTTCCTCAATGGTAGCTACCCGGGGCGGCAGACAAGGTACCCGGGACACTCAACCCGCAGGCCTTGTAAAGCAGAGACTTTGCTCCACCCTCCTGGAGAATTGGTGCGGCCCGTGACGGGTTGTGTCCGACCCGTCGTAAATAGACATGGTCGGTTCTTGACCAAGATGACAACCCGGGTCATTTTCCGCGGGAGAAATTTTGAAAGCTGCAATTTGAACAAGTGCTTTCAAGACCTCTGATGACAATGTTCGAACTCTGCATGTACCGTAGCCTTAGGGCGCCTGCTGCTCCTAGTGGGGGTTCATTGCAGCTTGCTTTGGCTTTCTCACGGGCCCACTTCAAAACAGTAGTCCAGGACGGCCGAGTTCGCACTGCAGACTTGCACACTTTGTCTAGGGTAGGAGGATCCTAGACCGAGACCGGACTCTTATATCTTCGGACTGTTGGCGTTGCCGACCCATTTATACCGGGCTCGTGTGTGTGTAGTCAAAACGGCGTCACAGGAACGAGGGGTGTTGCCAGGGTGTTGCGGCTGACATCTTAAACGGCACATGTCGAGAATGTAGTCTGCATTGCAACGCATGCACCTCGTAAAATCCCCTTCAGAGGTGGGACTTCTTCTGTTTCGTGAATGTTGACTCTGATCTTATGATTGTCAGATTGTTTGGCCTTCTCTGCTTAAGTAACCACCGGAAACTTCATTGCAGAGCACAGTTTCATTGTGAAGGTCTGACGAGCTGCCTCCGTTGAAGGGGGCTTGTTCAGAGGATGACTGACGTGCAGATCCCTGCGCATGCTGAGGTCCTTCAGCATTGCCTTCTCAAACTAGTGACATATGGTTGTGCAATTGCTGCCATTGGAACAATGCCTCAGCATATGGCTTATGGCATGATGCAGCACTGTTTACTGAACCATGTCATCGATGGCTGTGCTTCTCCTTACAAACTCCACTTTTTAGATTTGACATGCGTAAGTAAGAACACGTTTGTAGAAGACATCATCACGTTCCTCACGGCACACCTTCTTGCTTTCTCTGAAGTCCCAATGCAGATATTCCTGGATCGAAAGTGAGACTCTTGCAAGCAAGCTGCTAGTGTCTACCTATTGTCGCTGCTGTTGTTCGACACCATTCAAAGTACTTTACACCAAAGATCCTGATGACAGAATCATCCCATATCCTCTCAGGTAACATCCACCATGGAGGACCAGACTCAAGCAACGCAGCTCGTCGGGGAACCAACGCAAGTGCTAGGGGAACAAACCCAGCTCCTACCCGGAGCGACACTACTTCAAAGCACACAGCTTGTAGGCGAGCCGACACAACTTGTGACAGGCCCGGAGTGGCAGGGGGATGAAGAAACCCAGCCGGTCGATGAGGAGATCGTGTTTTCGACTGCAGAGGGTGGGGATGAGGAAACACAAGCAGTAGAGGAGGAGGGGGGAGACGGAGAGGGACAAGAGGAGCTAGTGAAGGTGTCAGGTTTGAAGATGGAAGGGCTTGCCCACTTCACGGAAGATCGAGAAGGAAGTCCCTCGGTGAAAGAAGAAACGGCTAAATTCAGTGCCTCCAAAGCTGAGGCTTTTAAAGCCACCTCTCAGGATGAGGAACATCAGCAGAGCCCCGCGGATAGCACTCCCAAAAGTCAGCCCGTGCCTGAAAACATTCACAAAGCCCCAGTCGCTGAGGTCATCGGTGGCTGGCGCACCACTAGGAAGAGCACGGAGGGGGAAACAAGCGACAAGGCGCCGTCTATCTCCAAACCCCCAGCTTCTGAGCGGCGGAAGTCGCTGTCGCAACCGGTGGACTCTGATGCGCCGACGGAGGATGAAAGCGATGGGGAGCCTGAAGTCGAGGGGCGCAACGAAGGAGTTGAGAGAAGGGGGGAGGAGGAAGGGGAAGGAAGAGGGGGAAAGACGGAAGGGGCAGGCCGAGAGGGGGAGGAACAAGGAGTAGAGAGAGGGGGTGAGGAAGCAGATGCAGGGAGAGGCAGGGTGGAAGATGGTGCAGGGAACGAGGGGAATGCAGAAACCGAAGAAAGGGAAGGGCTTCAGGAAGCTGCGGAGCTTGGGATGCGCCAGGAAGATGCACACGGGGGCAGTCAACAAAGTGCGGAGGGTAAGGGCATTCAGGAAGCGGCCGCTTCAGAACAACAAGAGCCAGAGGTCAGCAGGGAGCAGTCTCCGCCATTCAGGCTTTCTGCCGCGGAGGAACCCGTTGCTGAAACCAGGGGTGTGAATGCCCCCAGAAGTCAGGGTGTCAACATGCCCCCAGCCAGTTCATGGCGCGATTCGATCATCCCCGATAGCGACACCGAGGGTCCGGACGGCAGAGAGGGAGAGTTTGGCACGGCTCCGTCAGTCAACGCGGCTTCTCAGTGGTGGGTGCTGGACAGCAGTCAGGGCCCCATTGGGACGGCAAGAAGTGTCGCTACGAACGCGACAAGGGAGACCGACCGTGGCATTGGCTTTGGAAGCAATCTGAGTCTGGGCGAAGACGTGCCTGCGGCAACGCTTGTCGGGGAAACAGGGGACGAGGGTGTCAGACGGGCGCCGGATGGAGCGGGCCCAGATGGGGCGGGGCCGTCGGGTGGCGTTGTAGGCTTGGAAGGAGAGCCCTTGCAAGCAGGCGGGGCAGGGCCAATTGCGGTACAGTCGGGAGGGGAGAAGAGCAGGAAAGTGCGAGGCGGTGCTTTGGTTGAGAGTCAGAAGAGTGCAAGCGAGAGCGCATCTAAGCGGGGCCGCTCGCGAGCCACCAGGGCACAGAAAGCCAACCGCTCGGAGGCTGGGGAAGGAGCGGCTGAGACAGAGGATGCAACTAGGCACGGGGGGTCGGACGTGCGTGGCGAAGCCCCTCCTCAAACCGGTCAGCTGGTGGCAACAGATGGGCAGATGGCAGAGGCTGTGAGAGCGTCTCCGGAAAGAGAAGAGATGGAAGACCGGACTGGACACGAACTGGCCCCACCTCTAGAGCCCGTTTTGGAAGATGCTGTGCCGGTTAGTGTACCCCAACAGCAGGTCAGCCTGGTTGACGAGGGGATCCCCGAGCTGCGGCCAGACCAGCGGGAGCCCCCATTCACACAAGTCGACGAGGACGACGCGCCGGTGGCGATTTACACCCGCAGGACGAGTGCGATTACGCCCGCGCGGAGTGCGCCGCTGAACTTCAGCGCGGAGATTGGAGAGGAAACGCAGATGGAGGCGCTCGGGGTGGTGGAGGGACTGCTGGGGCTGAATGACGTGGACATGTCTGAGGAACAGGACAAAGGTGAGCACATCGCAGCAACATTCTGTTCCTAGTAAACATGAGAGAAATCTTTGTTCTGGCCCGAGGGGGGTTTGTAAAATGCTAGTGGAGCTTCGCCCTATGTGAGCTGATGTTCTGCTTTTGAGAAGGACCAAGAGATGTCCCGGGACAAGTCAAGGGTAAGCTTTTGTGGAGCGAAGTAGGAAGCTTTCAGCTGATTTGATCTGGTGCGTTGGAAGAAGTGTTACTCGATATGACAGGTTTTCGTTGCCTCTCATGGTGCTCAGGCAGAGCTGTTTAGACTGTGCTTCCCTTGGAAGTCGCTAGTATAGCGTCTGTTATGTTAAAAAGCTTCTGAGGATATGGAGAGAGCGTGTTGCGAGGGACGATGCTTTGTGATGGAAGCTGGGCAAGATCCTAAACGCACCCTACTCAAAAAGCGGTTGGAGTCGCTTATATTCTCCTCGCTTATGTTCTCAACCGCAGCGCCCGCTTGAGGGGTGAGCTACTCCTAGTCTTCTTTTGCTTTATGTCAATTGCTTGGGAACTGCAAGCATTCTGCACATTTCGGAGGTGTCAGACTGTCCAACGTACACAAAAAGGTAGAGTGCTTCTTGGAAGTTTACCACTATCCTTTCTCTGACCATTAAGTTTCGTAGCACTGTCAGTCCGTGTCTTCAAATGGAAACTCAAGAGAAATAGTAGTAAGCCGAGATAATAATAAGGTAACCGCACTGGGACGGGTAGGGTTAGTTTGGTGGTTAGGGTGGGTACGGATGCGGAGCAGGTATCTTTTTGGGTTAGGGTTTTTAGTGTCAGTCGGAGGTTATTATTATCTTCGTTATTATTATCTTTCTTGAGCATTATGTCTTCAAATCTGACTTCTGTTCGAGGCAGCAGCTTGAGAACCGCACTGCGCAGCCTGCTCCACTTCAAGCCTCACGAGAAGAAGCTTCTTGTCTCCCTTTGACAGGCCTGGAGAAGAAGCACAGCCTCGGCCCCGAACCCAAGCCTTCTCAGGGGGTTGCCAAGTCGTCAAGCATTGCTGTTCTCCCACCCCCCCAGGCTGTACCCAGGACGCTTTCCATCTTCGATTACGATAACAGCCAGGTTGATGCTGAACCTGACGAGCCTGTGATCCACCCGAAGAAAGCTCCAGCAAAAGCGACCCCTGCCAAAAGAACTAGAGGCGGGAAAACTGGCACTAGTCGTTCCATGGGGCCGCCAAAGTCTGCGCCAAACAAAGCGTCAGAGGAAGCGGGAGGGGGCACGGGGGGGTGGATCAGCCGGAAAGGTGTGGGGGATGAGAAGAAGAAGGAGACCCCTGCGACAAAAGAGAGTCGGGAGAAGGTGAAAGCGGGGGAGAAGGGAACAGAGGTAGGACGTGCGAAGGCATTGTCAACTGGGAAAATCGCCCAAGCGAGTGGAAAGGGAGCGGTTACCATTCAGGCGGTGCCAGCTGTCATTCAATCGATGGAAGGTGGGAGGCAGAAAGCCACTGCAGAGAACAAGGAAGCGGCACAGAAAAACGGAGAGCCTGTCGGGGGAGGTCTGGCTCAAATGAACTGGACGCAAGCCTTTGCGGCCGACTCAGAACCCCCGGAAAACTTACCGCCTTTGCCGCCAGTTGTGGAGGAAACGGAGAAGAGGAAAGGAGTGAAACGGGGTCTGTTTGCGGCATCCCTGATGTCGGACGAAGAGAGGGCGGCCGAAGAGAAGAGGGCAAAGGAGGAAGAAGAGAAAGCGGAGAAGGACAAAGCGGAGAAGGAGAAAGCGGAAGCGGAAAAGCAAGTGCCTGCGAAAGGGAGGGGCCGTGGGAAGGGGAAAGGGAAGGAAGCGGAGCCGGTTGCAAAGGAGGGTGCGTTCGGGGTTGCTACGCGAGTGTCGCCGAGACGAGCGGGAAGAGGGGCAGCTGCGAAGGACCCGAAGAAAGGGCGGGTTTCGGAAGAGGAGCAAACCGCAGGACCTGACGCAATGTTGCAAACCGAAAGGGAAGAGGAAGAGCGGGGTGTTGGAACGATGAACGAAGGGCGGGCGGTTGAAAGTGTGAACGGAAACGCCAAGGGGGCGAAAGAGGCGGTGACGGAACCAGTCCCGGTGGGGTCCAGTCACCGGTACAAGCACACGACAAAGCGAAGGAGGAGTAACGAGGTGACCGCTAGCGAGCGCGCGGCGACCCAGAAGCGGCTGGACCGCGGGTTCGAGGATACGGAAGATGCGGACGAAGAAGAAGAAGAGGAGTCGGACGATGAACTAGAGGAGGATGAAGAGGAGGGGCAGAAAGACGCTGGAGGCGCCGGAGAAGCCAACATGCTCTTCATGGACTCGCAGGTCGGTGAATGGTTTGGTGCATTGCAGCTTTGGCCTGTTGCTTGGGATCTTTCTCTTGGAGAACGAGATTTGCGGAAAAGTCAAAGGTGCGCGGCGATGTGCGGGATACATAAGATGCAAACTTGTTGGTCACGCTGCTTTGCACTATGGTTGGCTGATCCAAAGTTTGCCTCTGTTGCTTTGACAAGCAGAAGGAAGTGTCTGAGTAGCATCTGAAAACGTAGGACTGATGGAGCAAAATGCAGAAGAAAAAGTTGGGGTTTGAGCAAATGTGTTTCTTTGGGTTGCATGCCTTGGCCCTTGTCAATTAATCCCCTATGTTCCAGCACCTTCGAGCAGCTTGAGGTAACTCCAGCTCTGACCCTTCTATGATTCACGGACCCCTTGTGTGCCCTGTTGTCAATACTATGAGATGGTCGCTGATTGAAGTCACAGAATTGGTCCGTGAATGCTGGATCATTTTGTATCTGAATTAGATGTCGTTTGTGTGAAGAGGACTGGTCACCCTGGTGCAACTCAGAAAGTGCAACGGGACGTTCGTAGGTACGAGCTCTTCTTTTCAGCGGCTGACTCAATTGCACCGTCGTTTACTAGGTGCCCATCCTGCCAAAGTGGAAGAAGCTGAAGGGAGCCAAGAAGGGCGCCTTGAAAAGCGCGTTGACGAGTATCGGCGAAAGCGACGTGAACGACGCCCCGAAAAGCGCCCACAAAGCAACCAGAAAAGAGCAGTCAGACACGAAGCGGGCCAGGCCTACCGAACCGTCCGCCACAGGAGTGCCGAAGTCGGCCCCCCACGAAGACAAAGGGGCAGCGGGAAAGGGGCAATTGGGAGCGAAACGGTCCGCCGAGGGTGCAGGAACGGGCGAAGCAAAGCGGAAGAAGGTCGAGGGGGGTGCTAAGGAGGCGACGGCCTTGCTGGTAGCGCCAATGACCCGCGAGGATCCGTCTGCACAGGCAGAAGGGACCGGAACGGGGAATGTAACGGAACCTGCAGCCCGTGGACGTCGGAAACGGGGAAAGGAAGCGGAGAAGGCGGCTGATGCTGTTGGAGGGAAAGCGGAAGAAAGAGACGCGAAGAGGGCGAGAGGGCCGGGGGGAAGAATCGTCAGCAGCAGGTTCCGGGAGACGCCATCTCGGGAGGCGAAGAGCAGCGAACCTGAGAAGCCACAAACAGAAGCCGCGAAAGCACGGGATGGGGGGGTCCAGAAGGCAGCGTCAGTGGCCCCCCAGGAGGCTCCGGGGGCTCGGAGGCGGAGCAGTATGGTGCCAATCGCGAGTCTTATAAGGACAAGGAATCGCAGAGGAGAGGTGGAGCAAGCTGAGGACGAGGCGGGAGGATTGGATCTTGCATTCAGCCAGGTGCCGATAGCGAGTTTGCGGGAGAAGAAAGAGGTCGTCGAGAAGCGGAAGCCAGGAGCAGAGAAGGGGCCTGGGAAAGGTAAAGCTGGTGTTGGAAGCGGAGACAAGGAAGTGAGTTCGATGGTAACGGCGAAAGGCAAGGGTGGGAGTAAGAGGAAGGCAGAGACTTTGGAGGAACAAAGCGGGCTCGAATTGCAAGCAGTGGCTGAAAGAGACGAGGGAGGGGAGGGAGGAGTGGATGCGGCTGAAGGAGATCAAGACGGCGAGATCGTGTTTGTTGCAGCAGGAACGGATGCGGCAACAGAAAAGGCGGCAGAAAAAGATCAAGGATCTGGGGGGAGGACGACAAGACAAGGTGCTGGCAAGGAGAGCGCGAAAGAAGAGGTAGGACAATCCAGAGCGGTGGAGACGAGGCCAGCACGCAAGGGGAGAAAGCCGAAGGGAGAGGTGGAGGTGGCAAAGACTGGCAGGACTGATGTGAGCGAGGGCGCAGAGAAGGAATTGAGGGCCGGAAGCGGAAACGAAACCGGAAGCGGAACGGTGAAAGACCAGGGGGCGCTTGAGGATGTAAGTGGTGCTGAGGAAGAAGAGGAAGTCGTTGAGATCGGTGCGGCAGCCGAAAGAAAGGGGAAGCGAAGTGTTGGGAAGAGGGGCAGAGCTGCTGCGAAGCAAGGAGGAGCACCACAAGAAGATGCGAAGGTGGAGAAGGTGGATGATGATGTGGCGGGTGCGGTAATAGGCGGAGAAGAGCAGAGGCCGACGAAGCGAACGCGACGGGGGCAGTTGGTTGCAGAAGGAGCGGAGAAGAAAGCGTCAGACGAAGGGGGTAAGGCCGGACCATCAGAACGGGTGTCGTCAAGAGGAGCGAAAAAGTCCACTAACGAAGCGGAAGAACAGGGGACGAGCAAAGACGAAGCACCGGCAGAGGGGAATGCTGAGCGGCGGAAAGCGGAAGAGGCGGGCGGGTCGGCGAGAACTTTGACGAGGGGGGCTCGAACGAGTGGGGACGATGGGGGGGGGCAAGGCGGCCGGGGGAGGCTCAGCGTGCGGGTTAGCGGCAGGGTTAGCGATGACCTGGAGGGTTTGGTGAGCCCGACGCTGCGGAAGAAGCGGGAGATGGGGGAGCTGCGGGTCTTCGTCAGCTCCAGGATGCCGGATCGCGTGAAGGCCGCCCAGAAGAAGGTGTGTCCAACTGTGACTGTGATTCGGATCAGACTCGCTGCTAGAGTAGCATTCTGTACAAAAGGGGGGCGTGCTCGCTGCTTGGATTGCCTCTTTTACAAAAGGGGTGCGTTTGGCACGGATGTCGAAACGGATGGGAGTTTAGGAGGCGCAAGACGTGCACTTCTGCAAGCCACGTGGTTGCAGACCAGGTTCGGACGGTCGAACATTCCCTTAGCAAGAGGCGCGAAAGAATGCGACCCAAAACACTGATCCGTCTCTTATACAGAATCTGAAAAGATTGGGTGTCCGGAAGTCGCGAAACGTGCCGTCGTGCACGCACGTGGTCGCATACTCTTTCAGCCCGCTACTTATAATTTGCCGCCACATACCAGTTGCCGCCAAATACCGAGTAAATACCCCAAACTGAAGTCTCTTTTTCAAGATTCTGACATTGCGCGTAAGAAGTCTAAGACGTGCCGTCGTGCACGCATTTGGTCGCGAAGTCGTTTGGCCGGCCAGAACTCAATCCGAAAAAGCAGATTCAACACAACCCTCTTGTTTCTGCACAGATTCTGAAACGGCTGGGCGCGCAAGAGGCACAGGACGTGCCGTCGTGCACGCACCTGGTCGCAGAAAGTTTTCGGCAACTTTAAAAAGCAAGACACACGAGAAGGCGGACCAAACGAAGCCCCAATTTCCCGCACACATTCGTACAAAGATTAAAGATATTCTTCTTTCTCGAAAAATAGTCTTCTTTCTCGACAAAACGGCTGGGCGCCCAAGAGGCGCAAGATGTGCCGTCGTGCATGCGTCTGGTGCAGCTTTTAATTGGCCGGACAAGAAAGGAACAAACATAAACCAACGTCTTCCACAGATTCTCAAACGGCTGGGCGCTCAAGAGGCGCAAGACGTGCCGTCGTGCACGCACCTGGTCGCGGAGACGTTTGGCCGGACGCAGACGATGTTGGAGGCGATCGTGGGCGCCAAGAAGATCGTGAAGGCCAGCTGGCTGGAGAGCTGCGGTCAGGCGAACTACTTTGAAGACGAGGAGCCGCATATGCTTCAGGTACGGAATCTGACGCTTGGTTTTTTTGTGGTGCGGTGATTGGCCACAATTTTGGCAGGGCCGTCTGGCTGGAGAGCTGCGGGCAAGCGAGCTACTTCGAGGACGAAGAACCGCATGCCTTCAGGTGAAGCATTCCTGGGCTAGATTTCCTTTCGCTTGCGACGTTGAACAGGCTGAGGATCGTTCAGTGCCGCTCGATCTGATGGAGAATAATGATGGGTTTTCAGCCGCAGCTGTTCAAGGAGATTGCGGTCACTCTCTTCGAAATGCAGTTATGATTTAGACCCTGCTTCGGATGAAAGTTGAGGCAAGGAGTGGGTTGAACGAAGGCGTCCTACTTGATCACCGCGAGCGGTTCTGGTGTTTCTGTTACCATCTCGAGGGCTGCGGTGTTCAGACTCATTAAAAGGTTGAAGTTAATCCAAGAGGGAAGCTCAGAAAAGTCGTCGCGCTGTACAAAATCACTATTGGTCCGATCACGTCGTCAACAATCCAAGGTGCTTTCAGGTCTGCGGTTGTGAATAGAAAAGACGGCCGACTCTTGGAATCGAGAAGAGAAGACCAGCATGTTACGTATTCAAGTGGGCCAGTTAACGGCATACTTGAGTATTCCTTGCCTGATCTGACACTAGGGTGTGTGGGCTGTTACGAATACAAAGTGGTCGACTGCTTCGGACGCCTGCCTTGTGCTGGCGTGCTGCAACTTCACCGTCGAGAACTGCGTAAAGCTCGCCAAAGTTCTCCTCAAGAGGGCGTCTTATATGTGCAGGATGAGAAGCAGGAAAAGAAGTTCAACTTCTCGCTGAAAGCGTCACTGGCCGCCGCTAAGGAGAAGCGCATCTTTGAGGTAGGAATCTTGAAGACGCTCTATTTCGCCTCGTCTTGTCAGGTTTTGAAATGGGTTCCGACCTCAAAAGCTTACCGGACAAGCAAAGCCAGAAGCCATTTGTGTCAACTGAGGAGTTCTTTGTGACCGCGATTCGACGGCGCTCTTGACCTCGTCCTAGTTGAACTGCAAGCCTCGCACGTTCTCCGAAAGCGTGCGGGCCCGATTGCCTCGATAATCGTTGCATGTCTGGGTGCTGGCATCTTTCCGACTCTCTCTTTCCACCTTGTCGCTTTCTTCGCTCCTTCGAGCAACTGTGTCGAAACTTTGCTACGGAAGCCCCGGTTCCTACGATCGCATCTCGTTTACAGTATTTTGAGCCGCTCTATTAAGTCGGATTGAACAAGCGCCCGTGCGTATATTCTCGAGTTCGCCAGGGCAAGGATGACAGCCATCATTGGCAAGACGGCCAAGGAACTTTGCCACGGAGCCCGAACCTTGAGAACCGCCGTTCAGAGCCTCTTCGTGTCCTGCCTTTGGCCAGCGGCGCAATTTATTCGGTCCTTACAGCAATCTTGCTCTTGAGGAGTCGCCAGACTTCACTAGATTTGAATAAAGCAAAGTGCTGCAGACCCTACCC